CCTCATACGGTCAACAGTGAAGGACCACGTCTCGGTTCCGTAGGTCAACACGCACTGGTTGTACAACTTAGTTTTTAGGTTTTGAGGTATACCTTACGAGAAGATGCGTCGTAATTTCCCGAACGCTGCCCAGCCGAGTTGAATCCGTCGATTGACCTCTCGGTCGAAGTTGGACTTACCTAGTCGGACTATTTGTCCCAGGTAAACGTACTCGTCAACAACTTCGAGCTTAGTGCTCCCAACAACTACTGGCATTGGTGTGACATGGACATTAAACATGATCTTTGTTTTGTCCACGTTCATCTTAAGACCTATCCGTTGGGAGGCAACATTGAGGTCTTTGAGCATAGTGCTTAAGTCCTCCAGCGATTCTGCCACAAGGACTATATCGTCGGCAAATCGAAGGTGAGTGATGTACTCGCCATTGATGTTAATACCGTATCCTTTCCAGTCCAGTAGCTTGAAAACGTCTTCCAATGCAGCGGTGAAGAGTTTCGGGGAAATATCGTCACTCGTCTTACACCTCTCTGCAGTTGGATAGGTTTCGTACTCTGGTTCTGTACTCGGATAGCCATCGTAGCCCTACTGTGCAAACACTTCAGCACTTCGATATACCGACAGTCAACTTGGCACCGCTGAAGAGACTGTAGCACCGCCCAAATTTCGATGGAATCAAAGGCTTTCTCATAGTCCACATACGCTAGGCAAAGTGGCAGATTATACTCTTCGGACTTCTGTACAATTTACCGAAGGGTATGTATGTGGTCTATGGTACTAAATCCTTTTCGGAAACCGGCTTGTTCCGGAGGCTGGTAGTCGTCGAGTCTGCGTGCGAGACGATTCGTAATGACTCTGGAAAACAGCACGTAGTCGCGGCTCAGAAGTGATATCGGTCTGTAGTTCTTTAAGAGAGCGTTGTCACCTTTCTTGAAGAACAAGACCACCGCACTTCTGCTCCACGCCCCCGGAGTAGTGCCACCATGGAGAACGTAATAAAAGAGCCTCTGAAGGACTTCAAGTACCGGTTTTCCACCCGCTTTCAGAAGCTCCGCTGTAATTCCATCCTTGCCCTGGGACTGGCCGTTTTTAAGGTGCTGGAGAGCCATTCTAATCTCGCTTAGACTGACGTCCGGGATATCATCGGAATAGTGTCGGATAAGATCGGCTTGCTCTTGGATCGTTACTCACACTTGCGTATGGCTCCAACGATGATGTGTACAGCTGCCCATAGAACCTCTCAATCTCACTCAGAATCTCAGGTGCCCCGGAAACGATGCTGCCACACTCAGTCTTCAGCTTTGACAGTTGGCTCTTACTGGCAGACAGATCTCTGGCAAGGACTTTGGAGCCCTGATTCCGCTCACTCGCTTCCTCAATACGAGCAGTATTAAATTTGCGTAAGTCTCGCCGCATGCATTTGGAGATCTGTCTGTTCAGTTGCCTGTATGCTGTCAAATCTGTTGACGATTGCAGCCTCATCTCCCGTCTAACAGCCATGAGATTAAGAGTGTGATCGGAGAGTTTTTGTGTTCTTCTGCGACCGGTCTTGCAGAACTTAGCTCCGACCGCATGGACAGTTTCCACGAGCTTGTCATTCATATCGTCCACTGCATTGCAGTCTTCTAGGCACTGAAAGCGGTTACGTAACTCGAGCTGAAAGGTTTCGGGATTCTGGATTAGAGCACGAGGGGGACGGGGCGTTGACTTCATTAAACGAGACCTCTCCAACTTAACGTTTAGGTTCAGTGTGCCTCTAACCATTCGGTGATCGCTGCCAGTTTTCACCCTTGCGATCACTGAGACATCATTGAACAGTTGGCGTCTGGTCATCATAATGAAGTCAATCTCATTTTTTGTCGAACCGTCGGGGCTCGACCAGGTTCACTTCCTGTGGGGCCGCTTCTGAAAGAAAGGGTCCATCATAAAGAGTCCCTCTTTATCCATAAGTCGACCAGCTGCTGGCCCCTACGGTTCCGTTGCCCTACTCCGAATTTCCCTACCTTCAGCTCACCGCTTTCTCTTGTGCCTAGTTTTGCGTTGAAGTCTTCCATCAACACCGTATAGTGGGTTTTGGAGGAATGCATGGCTCTAGAAATATCCACATACATTTCCTCCACCTCCTCATCGGGATGTGCCGAGGTTGGTGCGTAAACCTGTATGACGTTCAGCGAAGTCATACAGCTTCTTGCACACTACTTTGTAAACCTCTATTAACGTTGCTTGATCGCAAAAACGTGCTCAGTTGACGCGAGTTGAGCACGGGTCGGTTGAATTGTGTAGTAATACAAAATCGTGTGGATTTCGAGAGACCGGTGTCGCCAGTTGGACACGGAAAAGGAAATACGCATGCGGAATTCGAAGCCGTGGCCCTAGTAGGCACCGTAACTGAATGGCCACAGTGGCACCAAGCCGTCGAATCTAGAACGCTTGTAAGCGCTCTGATTCATTTTAAGCCGATTAGCACGACTAATTAGGAAACACTATATTTGCTTTTTTATTAATAATGAATAAAATTCGCCTTTTACGATCGTGGATTGAATACCCTACCCATATTCCGTAAGTACAACTACATAAAACGAAACTTACTAATACAGACAACTTGCGAAGCTCGAAATCGCGACTCCCGTTGAGGGCAAGCCTTTATGTTGTATCTATGTATGTAATAAATTCAATATTTAGTGCAGTGGAGGAGTAAGAATATCCATTACCCCAAATGGCGTAGATGCTGCTGCTCATCTCCCAGTTCAGAGGAAACTAAACTGGGAGATGAGCAGCAGCATCTTCCTGATAACAGCTGAACAATAATAACAAATTGCGGTTGCTAACTCGTTTGCCAAGCGTCACACTGGGTTGATATATTTTTGTCTGTCTAAGATTCACTTTTTTAAGTCAACGTCCTGCGTGGACCGAGCTGCGTTTGCCAGCTAAATATGAAATAGGTATAAGAAATGAGCGGTTTATAACGTATTATTTTTGTAATTTGATTTAAGTTTAAGATTTTAACTGTGTAGTGGCGATGTCATATCCTTTGCCACATATCGTCCATTGGGTGCATAGAATACTATAATACATACAACATAATAGAACGGGGGAGTGGGCGGAGCTCGTGTAGTCACCAAAATGTCACGTATCAATTCACACGTATAAACGTCAACACTAGATGTGTTTTTACGTTGCAATCCTTTCCAAATTTCCCATGCAAATTATTTGGAAAATGCCAAATTGCACGCTATTTACAAATAAATATATATAAAATCTGTCTGTCAACACAGCGAATCGGGTTTGTAGTAGTGATAATATGACGTTATTGCTTGTATGTGTGCTCCCGGCGACGCCTATCGTCGTATAAAATAAGGTTGACAGCCATTCTATTGTGTATTATAGTATTCTATGCTTGGGTGTGTAAGAGGCAACAAAGAGAAACAAACCAGCTCCAGTCTTCCTAATAACTAGAAAATAAATAACTGCGGTTGCGGACCCCCCAAGCGTGGCAGCCGTGACAAATATTCCCCGAGACAATTTATAGGGGAGGCCTACGTTCACCAGTGGACTTTTGATAGGCTGTAATAATAATGATGGTGATTGTCGTTTTTTCATTTTTGTATTCTTAAGATTTTGCTGCGGATCTTCAATAATAGCTTTATTTCTGCATAGAAAGCTGGTGAATTTTTACGTGCAGGGGCCATGCTGCAGCTAGATTATAATTGTAGTACGAATGGGTCGGCTCGACCGAGGTTGGACCACGCTCCCACAGAATACCAGCGTAAAATAGCAGCTTAACGCTGCTGTGTTTCTTGTGGTGAGTGTTAAAAGACCGGAGACCCTTTTTACTGGAAACGAGACTTTCAATCTTAGTCCTCAAGGGTGACAACGCATCTGCATTTTGATTGTAAATCGAGGGGATAAATAAATGTAGAAGTCTATGGGCCATAGCATCCACTTACTCTATAATACAAAGTGGACTAGACATAACTACGCCTTAAGGCCTGTATTCACTTTGTTGATTAGTGCAGGTGATTAGTGTAGGTGCTTATTATTAAGGAGTAAGTAAACACGTGTGGGCAGCGATTGATGCAAGTGATTAGTAATCTGCGTAGTTAAGTGATTAGAAGCGTGTTCTATTTTTTGCGAGTGAACTGCGAGTATCCACGTTTCCTGCGTCCTCCCTTCCCGCTCACTCGCAGCACGTCCTCCACTAAACACGTCTAGACAACAGTATTTAGTGTTTAGCATCGGACGCTCGCTTGTGTTGCAAAAATGACAAAATGGACCGAAGACATTACCTATAAATTTGTGCAGGAAAAATGAATATCTTTACAATAGTAAATATCCTAACTGCAAAATTAAAGGAGCAGGAGGCATTTCTACGTATAAGTGAAGCTACTAACTTACCGGGGTTCAGAAGTAAAAATTATACTAAAATAAGAAACTTGAGATACTACATATTCACCAGAGGTTAAGAAAGTTAAATAGAGTACCAACTGGTCAAGGTCTAACAACTGAATTAACTAAACAGAATTGGCCGCTGCTTACACTACACACGTGCACTAATCACCCGCAATTACTAATCACCTGCACTCGCACTAATCAAAGTGAATATAGGCATTTAAGTTCGCCATATATAATACACTGCACATAATGATTTTTGCAAATCGGTGGACAGTAAGAAGTTAGCATGACTATCCGTTGACCAGGAAACGGTCCTAAAATTAAGTATAGACTGTAGATTTGTCCTGTTACTTCATATTTATCAACCATTTAAGTAACGCTGACGATATGTTCTTGATGGTTTATTGAAACTGCTATCAGAGTAAAAATTTACAAAGAGTTTGCTTGAGGATAATGGAAACTAATAAAACTCAAAAAGTTGTTATATAAAATATATTTATCAAGTATTTTCTTTATCATTATTTGTATATATCACAATATTATGATTCATCATCAGTGCTTTATCTATAAACCATACACAAAAGTTACATGTATAACATATACCTAAAATACTAATCCTTAATATCTAAAATTCTAGTTAATTTATTGCTTATGTACATATATTTGGTGCAGTGGAATTTCAATTCTTCCTCAATCGTTGTTACTTCTGCCGTTTCTTCTGGCGAGGACTCTGAAACATAATATAATGCTTTACTGTTTATGCGTCATCCGGGTTGTGCATGCGTGCATGGCTTTTTTATACATTAAGGGTAACAAACGAGCATACAGTCTACCTGATGGTAAGTGAATGCTGTGGCCAATAGATACCTACAATTATCGTCGATAAATAATCAAAATACAGTTGTGTTGCTTCCCTTCCCGTAAAAAGAGTCAGGGTAAAAAGAAAAGCTATTTTTGTTCCATTTTTATAAGCTTATTTTCTAATTTGCGAATCAACTAGGTTTATGTGAATAACGCCACAAAATCGGTTTACCTCTCTCCACTTTTTCACCGCTCAATGTGTTTTTTTTTTATAGAATAAATGTGACAAACGAGTTCACCTTATGGTAAGTAGATACTGTGGCCATAGACTGAACTAGTATTGGAAAGTACTCGATTAAGGATCAAAATATACCGTGTAGTGGCGGTTGAGAATATCACTACTCCATATCTTCCCGTGGGTGTCGTAAGAGACGACAAAGGGACACAGAAAGGAGATGGGCAGCAGCATCTTCCTAATAACAACAATAATATAATAAAAACACTGCGGTTGCCAAATCGCTCGCCAAGCGTGGCAACTATGGCAAATACCATGAGCAACGACGCAAACAAACGGCCCCCAGTCCCCGGCGGCCCCACTATTCCTGGCTACGGTGGCGACCATGGTAACGGCGGGGCACGGGGTGCTAAGAATCTCCGGTGGAGGTTCGGTTGCCCCCTACGACGCCTCGACCTGGTAACATATAACGCACGCGCCCTGAGGACTGACGAGAAGATACTTCAGCTGGAAGAAAAGGTAGACACGGTACGCTGGCATATTATTGGATTATCCGAGGTCCGAAGAGAGGGGGAGGACACGGTAATCCTCGAGTCCGGCAACTTGTTCTATCACCGGGAGGGCGACCATCTGTCCCAAGGAAGTGTCGGATTAATCGTCCACAAGTCTCTCATCAACAACGTTGTAAAGATTGGGAGTGTGTCGACGAGGGTCGCGTACCTGATACTCAGAATCACCAAACGGTATTCGCTGAAGGTCATATAGGTTTACGCACCAACCTCGGCACATCCCGATGAGGAGGTGGAGGAAATGTATGAGGATATTTCTAGAGCCATGCATTCCTCCAAAACCCACTACACGGTGTTGATGGGAGAGACTTCAACGCAAAACTAGGCACAAGAGAAAACGGTGAGCTGAAGTTTGGGAAATTTGGAGTAGGGCAACGGAACCGTAGGGACCAGCAGCTGGCCGACTTTATGGACAAAGAGGGACTCTTTATGATAAACTCTTTCTTCCAGAAGCAGAACCACACAGGAAGTGGATCTCGTCGAGCCCCGACGGTTCGACAAAAAATGAGATTGACTTCATTATGACGACCAGACGCCAACTGTTCAGTGATGTCTCAGTGATCGCAAGGGTGAAAACTGGCAGCGATCACCGAATGGTTAGAGGCACAACCTAAACGTAAGTTGGAGAGGTCTCGTCTAATGAAGTCAACGCTCTGTCCCCCTCGTGCTCTAATCCAGAATCCCAAAACCTTTTAGCTCGAGTTACGTAACCGCTTTCAGTGCCTAGAAGATTGCAATGCAGTGGATGATATGAATGACAAGCTCGTGGAAATTGTCCATGCGGTCGGAGCTAAGTTCTGCAAGACCGGTTGCGGAAGAACACAAAAACTCTCCGATCACACTCTTAATCTCATGGCTGTTAGACGGGAGATGAGGCTGCAATCGTCAACAGATTTGACAGCATACAGGCAACTGAACAAACAGATCTCCAAAGGCATGCGGCGAGATTTACGCAACCTTAATACTGCTCGTATTGAAGAAGCGATGATACCATCCACACCATCTGGATGCTTGGCGGTCCACCACTGTACGTTTCAAAAGGAGTTTTCTTCCGCGTACAACCTCTCTGTGAAATAGTTTACCACCGGCAATTTTTCCGGACCGATACGACCCGGGTAACTTCAAGAAAAGAGCTTACTCCTTTCTAAAGGGCCGGTAACGCACCTGCAATTCCCCTGATGTTGCGGTTGATCATGGGCGACGGTAGTCACTTAACATCAGGTGAGCCGCACGCTCGTCTGCCCCCTCTTCTATAAAAAAAGCGATCGAGCGGAACCAGGGCTCCAAAGTATTTGCCAGAGATCTGTCTGCCAGTAAGAGTCAACTGTCAAAGCTGAAGACTGAGTGTGGCAGCATCGTTTCCGGGACACCTGAGATTCTGAGTGAGATGGAGAGGTTCTATGGGCAGCTGTACACATCATCGTTGGAGCCACACGCAAGTGTGAGTAACGATCCAAGAGCAAGTCTTATCCGACACTATTCCGATGATATCCCGGACGTCAGTCTGAGCGAGATTAGAATGGCTCTCCAGCACCATAAAAACGGCAAGTCCCCGGGCGAGGATGGAATTACAGCGAAGCTTCTGAAAGCGGGTGGAAAACCGGTACTTGAAGTCCTTCAGAAGCTCTTTAATTCCGTCCTCCATGGAGGCATTACTCCCGAGGCGTGGAGCAGAAGTGCGGTGGTCTTTCAAGAAAGGTGACAACGCCCTCTTGAAGAACTACAGACCGATATCCCTTCTGAGCCGCGTCTACGTGCTGTTTTCGAGAGTCATTACGAACTGTCTCGCACGCAGACACTACGACTTCCTGCCTCCCGAACACGCCGGTTTCCGAAAAGGCTTTAGTACCATAGACCACACACATACCCTTCGGCAAATAGTACAGAAGTCCGAAGACTACAATCTGCCACTTTGCCTTGGCGTATGTGGAACTATGAGAAAGCCTTTGATTCCGTCGAAATTTGGGCGGTGCAACAGTCTCTTCAGCGGTGCCAAGTTGACTGTCGGTATATCGAAGTGCTGAAGTGTTTGCACAGTAGGGCTACGATGGCTATCCGAGTATAGAACCAGAGTTCGAAACCTATCGAACTGCAGAGAGGTGTAAGACAGGGTGACGTTATTTTCCCGAAACTCTTCACCGCTGCATTGGAAGACGATTTCAAGCTACTGGACTGGAAAGGATCCGTATCCTTAATTAACATCAATGGCGAGTACATCAAACACCTTCGATTTGCCGACGATATAGTCCTTATGGCAGAATCGCTGGAGGACTTAAGCACTATGCTCAATGACCTCAATAATCGATGTCTGTATGTGCGGGTGAACGGGTATAATTTCAGCGATTTACTTCACGAGATCAGGTGTTAGTCAGGGCAGTATGTTGGGTCCAACCCTCTTCCTACTCTTTATAAATGATCTGCCGAACACCGTTTGTTTTTCTGAATGTCTCCTCTTTGCTGATGACTTAAAACTCAGTATGGGTATTGAATCTGAATCAGATACCATAAATTTACAAAGAGACATTGATGCGTTGTTGAGTTGGAGCCAAGAAAATCTATTACCTTTTAATAGTAATAAATGCAAAGTAATTACTTTCACTCGAAAACCTAGACCAATTGTAAATTTATATAGCTTACTTGACGCTCCTTTGGAAAGAGTAAATAATATTCGAGACTTAGGGCTATTATTAGATTCCAAATTAGACTTTCATCTTCACATGACAAGTATCTGTAAGAACGCGCATAGAATGTTAGGTTTTGTTATTAGGACTGGAACACAATTTGACAATGAAGTAGTTGCTAAAATAACGTTTAACGCATTTGTTCGTAGCAAGCTGGAATATGGTGCTGTTATCTGGGACCCATTTGAGGACAAGTATGTCCTTTTGGTCGAGAAGATACAGCGTAAGTTTGCCCGATGGTGCTTTCGGAAGCAATACGGGTACTATCCTCACCTGTATCCTTCTTTGTTCGTATCAGGCATGGTTGGTATGGAAACTTTGAAATTTAGGAGGCTTATGCTAATGCTGACACATTATCTCTCTATACTCTATCATAAGATCGATAGTCCGCAGATACAAGAGAGTGTACGCATCTTAGTTCCCCGTAATATACGACAGGAGTCAGGGCTGCAGCTAGCACCGCGCCGCCGGCCTCGTTTGCTAGCGCGCCCTGTCGCGCGCACCAGGCGCGGCGAGCACGCGCCTACTATCCGCGCTTTATGAATGATAGGTGACATACTTGCTCAGTACGATGATCTTGACTTATTTGCTGATGGATTGAGTAAACTTATAAGTAAATTAAGAAATATTCTAACTGATATTATATAATTTTTTATCCCTGACATTGATTATTATAATTACTATTTTAATGACGTGTAATATTTTGTTTGACTATTTTGGTCTTTTTTGTTTTATTAATTTGACTATTTTCGTTTTATTAATTTGATTATTTTCTTTTTGATTATTTTCGTTTTATTTTTTTATTTGTTCTGCAATTATTTCAACTAATTTTTTTATTTTAATTTAATGCGGTTTATTTGGTAATTTAATCATGACTTAAAATAGACAATTTTAACATAATGTATCCTAATGTTGCAAGCGTGTTGGATGCTATCATCTGTTAGCTTGTAGGCATGTATGTTATAAATAAATAAATAAATAAATAGTACCTCCCAACGGATAGGTCTTAAGATGAACATGGACAATACAAAGATCATGTTTAATGTCCATGTCACACCTTGCCCGTAGTTGTTCGAGCACCTGCTCGAAGTTGTTGACGAGTACTTTTACCTGGGACAAATAGTCCAATAGGTAAGTCCAACTTCGACCGAGAAGTCAATCGACGGATTCAATTTGGATGGGCAGCGTTCGGGAAATTACGACACATCTTCTCGTCAGATATACCTGAAAATAAAACCTGAAAACTAAAGTGTGTTGCCAGTGATGACCTACGCAACCGAGACGTGGTCCTTCACTGTTGGCCGTATTAGGACGCTCAAAGTCGCTCAGCGAGCTATGGAGAGGGCTATGCTCGGGGTTTCTCTGCGTGATAAACTTAGAAATGAGGATATCTGTAGTAGAACCAGAGTGACCGTCATAGCCGTCCGACCAATGGGCCGGCCATATAGCTCGAAGAACCGACAACCATTGGGGAAAAAAGATTCTCGAGTGGCATCCTCGTACCGGTAGGCGAAGTGTAGGAAGACCCCCCACTAGATGGAGTGACGACTTGGTAAGACATGCAGGAAGTCCATGGATGCAGGTGGCTCAGAACCGTGCTTTGTGGCGTTACTTGGGGGAGGCCTATATTCAGCAGTGGACTTGTGAAGGGCTGTAATGATGAAGGATCAAAATGCAGATGCGTTTATCTCACCTCTGAGGACTAAGATGGAATGTCTTTGTTTCTAGTAAAAATGGTCTCGAGATCTCTACACTCACCGTACAAAACTAACGTGACGTACGTTGGTATTCCGTGAGAGCGTGGTCCTTCCCCGGTCGAACCATCTATTATAAGACATTATAAGACCTGTGCTGGTCGTAGGATGGATTGTCTCCTTGAGGGGGTTTTGTGGTTTTTTTTATACAGGTTTAGCCATTGGACATGTTTCTTATTGCCGAAAATGTTAAGATACGTACAAAATAAAGTTGACTTCTAGTAGGGGCGTAAGAGAATTCGCCAACACTATAATATTATCGACTGAAGGAAAATGTTGGAAAGATCTTATTTCCAAACCTAAAACATCTGGACTGGTGTAACATAGACATAAGCCACTGCTTGACTACCATACCGCTCATGTTCGTGATTTGTGAAATCAATAAAATTTATCTCATTTTTATACATCAATAACAAATATGATCATGAAGTATTCAAAATTTTCGAATAGTTTAAACGGAAACTTACCTAAATGTTGCCAAACCGGTGGGGGGAAAACGGGTGTCTGTGAAAATACATAGACTATTTTCGCGTCTCTATTGAGGCCCGAATCCTGTGAATTTTCTTTTCTGCTCACTTCCATACGGTACCAAAACGCAGGTTTTCTGAAAACGTTAATGTTATCAAACAAGTTTAGTTTTCGTTACAGCCTATATACGTCCCACTGCTAGACACAGACCTCCTCTCATTTTGGTTTTAAGGCAAGGAAATTTTCGCCGCGCTGCCCTAATGCGTGTTAGCGAACTTCACGTCTTCGAAATTTTTTCTTTTTCCTATTTCTCACAGACGCAGGTTTCCTTCCTCACGATATTTTTCTTCACCACCGAGCACGTGGCAAATCATCACTAAAAATTGCAATTAACAATTTCATTGGTGCCTGCGGGTATCGAACCCGAGTTGCTCGCGTAAAAACTCGCGTAACGCGCTCGCGTTGTCGTGTGAAATTTTCGGCGATCGCTAACCATATGAGCTACCACGGGTCCTTATCAAACAAAGTATTTTAATATACCATGTTTTAAAACGGGCTTCTATAAAAAAAAGAATTTAGAAAAGGACTTCTATGATAAAAAAGGTTTTATTAGAAGTATAAAATTCCTTGGGTTTTTCTTTATTGTAGTGTGTCCCATTATATATGTATGTGTGTTATGTGTAGAATAAGAGCATTATAATTTAAGATCTGAAAAGTATCTTCCTACATTACATGGCGACCCTGCCAAGATTCGAACCTGGAATCTTCTGATATATATTGACGTGGGGCTACACTACATTACATTACGCTGTCATCCGATTCTAAGCCTTGATCAAATAAGTCTAGCTCATCGGGATGTTAGTTTAACATCAATTACTAAATTCAACCCGAACAGACATACACATAAGCGAGTTAATAAAGACGTGGTTTATTGTGGCAGGACATACTAGCACCGATGATGTTGCCCGTCACCCGTCTGAATATGTTGTCTCATACACACGACTTAGCTATATCGCTATTTATGAAAATCCACGAGATAGCAGCTTTCTCCATAGTCGCTTCTTACGACATCCACGCAACTCTTGACTCACTGGTGGTACAGTATATTCGGTGTACAGTCTTGACACTGTACGAAGACCAGTAAGACTAACCTGCTATTTCATGCTGGTATTTTGTGAGAATGTGTTGTTTTCCCGGTCGAGCAACATATGTGTGTTGCAGTCATTGGTTGTTTTGTTTTAGATACTGTTTATGTTCATTTTAATTTGTTTAAGAAGTCTGCGTAAACTTACTTTAAGTGGTCCTGAACGATGGTATTCGTAATTGGAATGCAAATACTCTGAACCGGATCACTCATCAACTGACCGACTGTCCTGACCGGCGACTTCTCCGACACGTATAATTGTAACAACTTCGACGCAATTGGCTTCAGTTGCGCTGGAAATATTATCACTTTTTTTCAAATTGACGTAGAAAAGAAATTGATTATGTTATATAAAATGTTTCTACAACAAAAAACAGTTTCTGAAGAATATGTAATTATTAGTAAGAATTTAATTTCTACAGCTTTTATGCTAGACATTTTGTGGTCTGTGAAAACATACACATAAATAAAATAAAATTCGACAAGTGCTATCCTCTAATATACGCATACGCATTTCACTATACGCTAAATGATTCTTAACTGATGGCTGTGGAACACTGTTTGTCTCTAAAGGCAACCAAAGAGAACCGCAAAGGTATACTACAATTATTAAACATACTTAAAGAAAATATATACACATATAGGTAAAGTGTAACAACATTCATGGGGAAGATCGTCAGTGTTGTTGGCTGTTTAAAAATTTTGGCCTTGTTGGCTAATACTTCCTACGGTTTAGAATACAAGGTGTTGCCACATTAAAATTAGGGATGCGCAATGAGACTCTCTTATACATTCATTTTTGTGCTTTATTTATATACCAAACTTGAAAATCTACCTTGCTATTATATCAAATATAATAAAGGTTGGTGGTTCAAGTCAAGACAAAACATCGGTTAAATTGTCTTCCATCCCTAAAATTTTAAGAACCACTGAGCTAATTAGAGGTTTGAGATGATCATTCTAACTACACTTTGACTGACAGCATCGAGGTTTGTAAAACTGCCACCAGATAAGATCTAATTATTCAAACTTTAAAACTCTGAAAATAATGTTAACCAGCCCTTGAAGTAAGCAGGTTGTCCAAAATAAATTTCCCATAACAGTGCAAAACAACCATTTTTTGTTAAAATGAGTGCAGCGAGTAAAAAAATGTGCGAAAGTATAAATTTAATTGAAAAGTGGCGGCGTTAAACAATAAGGCAAGTATTCGGAGACCATCTCGAGTTTGAACTCAAACTCCATAATGTCAAAATTTACTCGAGATTGCGTGCGTTTGGCAGAAAAACGCTAACAAGCGCTTACAAGCGCTAAAATAGTTTTCGGCCAGGACACGATTGCTACTTCAGTAGCGCTAACATAATCCGCCATTTTGCTTATTTAATTTGTTTGTTTTGAAGTAGAGTTTAAAAGTTGTTTTGTGCAATATTAGTGTTAAGTAATATAATGACATGAATAAACATATACATGTTATTAAAAATTTATGATTGGTAAGTTTTTAATATGAATACTTTACAAACATATATTTAAATTAGGTTAGGTTCCCCCGGTTAAAACTAACATCGTGTCCTAGAGGAAAATAGCTACTTACGATTTGACAGCGCTTACCGCTTACGATCGCCATTTTGCTTACAAGCGCTTGCTAGCGCTTTTTTCTGCCAAACGCACCCATTGTCTCCGAATACCGAAACAAGAAAGTCCATCTCTTGTTTTCGTCGCGTGTGTGTCGTAAAAGGTGACTGTGGGAAATTTCATATATTTTCATAAATATGAAGTGACGAACGAAGTCACCTGATGGTTAGTGGCTGCTGCAGTCCATGGACGCCTGCAGACCACTTCCGATAAACAAGGCTACAGATGCGTTGTCATCTCTGAGAACTAAAGCTTTGGTCTCCTGATCGTAACGAACAACGCTGCGGTAAGCGGCGTGCGGTGCCGGACACATAATCGTATGAAAAACGTGTAGAATGGTCTTTTGTTCCGCCGCAGTATGCGTCAGCGGCGAGGGGCAAGCGCGGTGAAGCGGGGAGCGGGTACTCCGCACTGCGCGGCGTCGTTCTCGTTGCGACGCTGCGTTGTGCGTCACGGGTTGACAGTGGATTTGTTTGAAGATAATTTAATATAATTAATCCGCAATTATCCCTCTTTATATAAAAATAACAAACTACTTCCTTCCTCCTCCTAACACAAATTTCAAAACTATTGTTCTCTGCTTCTGCTTTGGTAGCTGTGGCAAAATCAACTGACCACTTCTCCGCAAAGATACTAAACGCTGCGTCGTAACGCTGCGTTTGAGCCGCATATCGCAGCGTTGTGCGTTACGATCAAGAGACCAAAGCTTAAGATGGAAAGACTCACTACCTGTTATTATACTAACTCCCTATATCCTTTAGACTGGAGTACAGCACCTGCTGTTTGGCGGTAGATATAAGGGGGATGTACCTACTCAGACGGACTCCTAGGACTCCTACTCCTAGACTCCAAGTCATACCACCTAAACGAGCAAATAAGAAAATATTTTATTCTAAATAAAAAGTCCAGTACCAAAATCAGCTCTCAGACAACTCTCGGCGCGATATAAATGCTCCAAGCACGCATGCACTTGGGCAAACTTCATGAGGAGGTTCTTCCACGGGCTGATGTCTATTTCGTCAGCTATTAGCGGCACCTGAGGTAAACACGAAAAAATATTACACAGGTCAATTAAATTACACTCTTTGTATCTCAAGGACAAGATCTACCCCATCTTAAAGTGTTAACCCAATAAATTTTCATTATGTACTGAGAACACAAAATAAAAATTTTAGTAAAAGTAAAATCGGACTTCAAAAATTAAAAAGTATAAAAAATCCACATTTGCATTAAAAATACATACGGACAACATTAAAATGTTAAAAAATATTGCGTTTAGACTTATTATTTCATAATGTTACGAGCTTGAGGTTCGTGACAGTAAAAATTGCCGACTGAATAACCGAATTTTAATTTACAGAAAAAATAAAATAAAATAGAACTTTAATTACAGAACACTAATAACAACTTAAAACACACTAATAATGTATAGTATTACGATCACAATTGTATTACCGATCACTTTAGTTCGCAGTAATATCGCTTGCAAGTATTCGCTTGAATCACCAATTCAATACTGACTCGGTCGCGGTCCCCACCGGCCTTATATAGGGCCTCTTCTACTGAAACATCTAGAATATTCGAGTACATACTGGTCCCGACTGACTAGGTGTAGAAAGTTCTAGGATGAAATTTTCCAGAAAGCTCTCCTAGTTCTGCTACCCGATACCAGATGGTGCTAGTGGTAAATCGCCATGTACCAGGCATTAATTATGGCGCGAAAAAATAATATTAAGTAACAGAACTCAAAAAGTTGTTATCAATGGTAAAAGTTCCTCTATATCGGTAGTATCAATGGGCATTCCTCAGGGCTCGATTCTTGGTCCATTCCTATTGTTAATCCATATTAATGACATACCTAATCTTGTAGGGAACAATCACGATAATACTATATTGTTTATTTGCTGATGATAGCTATTTAATTTTTAATTTTCAATTTTTTTTAATTGCCTACAAATTTCTCATTTCGAAATCGCAATTGCTCACACTATTCACTCATTGTTTAATCAATTATTAATAACTTAAAGTACAAAATAGTTTTTGCCTAAACCACTCAGATGAAAGAATAAGTGCTCTAAATTGCTCACTAACTGCTCAATTCAAATTTGCAATTGCTCATACTATAAATTAATTATTTAATTAGTTATTAAAAATACAAAATAGGTTTTGCGTATTATACTTAAAACCTTAAAAAAAATAAGTGCACTTAATTGCTCACAAAATGCTGAATTTAAATCCGTTATTGATCACACTATTAATAAATTATTTAATTAGTAATTAATAATTAAAAGTACAATTTTTTTGCCTATACCGCTCAGAATAATAAATAAGTTGATTGCTCACAAATTGCTCAATTCAAATACGCAATTGCTCAAACTATTAATTAATTATTTAATTAGTAAATAATAATTAAAAATACAAAATTGTTTTTGCATATCATAGTTAAAAACAAATTTATTTTTAAATTTCATTTTTAATTTAATTATGACGATGTAAACAACGCTCGTATTTGCTACTTACATACCTCATTGACATCTTTCTTCTCGCTCACTAATCCATGTTTCTTTAGAGAAGCAAAATCGTCAACAGTAAGCTCATTGGGATCTTCTGCACAGAACGATTCTGAGTCGAGACGTATCGAATGCTCTCCTGTTGTGAGGCTCTCAAATGGGTTGAGGGTGAAGTCACCACCCATAGTCATATCCTGTATTGTCTGGTTTATTTGTTCTATTGACTCGTGTGTCCTGTAAATGTAAATATGGCTTGTAAACAGGTAAATTTAATCTTGCTGGAAATCAGACACAAAGATATGTAATGAGTACTTTACGATAATTTTCTTTTAAAAATGTAGAATTTGTAACTAAAAATAAAACAAAACAAATAATATTTTTTAAAGATTGCCTTAATGCATATTGAACAATGTTATGATGACCGACTGCCTCGTTAATCTAGTGGTCGTTCGAATCCCGGATCGAACCTAATTCAGTTATTCGGTTTTTCTTTTGAGAAATTTTTTGATCAGCTCAGAGTGAGGAAAATGGCCGTTTTACCCCCGTGCCTCGAAAAGCAGCAAAGAGGTTGGTCATGCGCTTAATCTCTCTCCGGTCGCTGTCGGTTTGCCGTCCCATCGGACTAAGAGAATGAGGAATTAGAGAGTACACATAATATGTTTTCGCGCAGTCTTTGTGCACTATAATCCTGTCCTGCGTAGATGTTTAGTCTCCTCCCTGTCAAGACTGGCTGCTGTGCCTGAAGTTCTTTATGGAGGACATTAATGTTATAACAGGTGTCTATAGATTCTGCCGTTTAATCATCTTCACCAAACGCCAAATTTGACCGCGGCGATATTCCGTCAAAATTCAAGAGGTCAAATGTGACCGCACCCACCCACAGCACTTTAACCCATAAATACTTATGTTTAGAGACTACTTTTCTATGAAGAAGTTTGGCATTATAGAATCAATATGAAAGGAGATGGTCCATTTTAGGCCCAGTCTATGTACACTATACCGTATATATATATATATATATATATATATATATATATATATATATATATATATATATATATATATATATATATGTATATATATTAAATTATAGAATATTAAAGAAATTATAAATTAAGTGTTGGTTTTTATTATTGGCTGCATTTTAGCTAACAAACCGTCGCAATATTAGTTTTTTAAGAGCAGTCGTGTTTGTAAAATGCAAGTCAGTGGTTGAGCGTCACGTTGTCTTGTTTTTATTTTCCATCACGACCTACTATTTGAGGTAAGTAATGATCTTTGTATTAGAAATTTTGATAGCTAATTAAAAAAAAAGTCTTAAGAATCTGAACTGAAAGTAATATTTATTAAAATTATATCGACCTATTGAATTTTGAAGTTTATTTCTGTGTCGGCGTCATACGCCACATTCCCTACGCAACGTATTGTATTAGCGGAAGACCAATGTGACGTAGTGGAATTCTTAGGCATGGTTTACATTGTGCTTGGTTTATTTTGAAGTTTTTATTGACCTGCTTAACTTTTAATTCTATCTATATATAATTTAGACCTTACAGGTCAAAATTAATATCAATTACGTTTATTAAAAAGAAAATGAATTTAATTGGTATGATTGCGTAGTACATACTTTTGTAATGCGTTTCTTTTTTTCGATTATAGTAGATAGGATGAGGATTCGTACTCACAACTCACGTAACACTAATAACAGCAACGGTATGATACTAACTTGATCATACAGGCCGAGATTAAATTTTGCTTCTCTTTAGAACTCACCATGGCATTGACGGCTGCGGAACGGTCTAAAATGTATAGAGAAAAAATAAAACAGAACCCAGAAAAACACGAACTTCATAAAAAAGGAGCTAGAAAGAGTAAAGAAACATTTCGAGAAAATAAATGAGTATAACATAAATAATATTACTTATTAAATATTTATGTCGTTAACGAATTCTCACTAAAATATATCTTTATAAAAATATATAGATACAAGTAGCTTAAAGTGAAGATTTGTTGTGATAACTTTCCAATTATAATTCTGTTTTCCAATTATAATCCTTTTTTTTAATATTAAGTAGTTATTTTTTACTTTTATGTAAAATAAACAGGGTTGAGTGACTATTTCAGCTAGATTCATAAGTATTTTTAAATAATTACTTAATTTCTGGAATAAGCTTTAATTAAAATTAATGTAAACTATGCCTTATAGTTTCTAAACGTGACGCCATTTTCCATTAACGTCACTTGTCCTATTGGTGTTGTGATATTTATATTTAATTTAATATTTGCTTCGTATAAATATTGCCTTAATTTAACTTAAAAAGAAATGTATCAATTAAGCCTTGTTATAAAATTAATTTAAATAGCACATTATAAAGAAGAATAGCAAAGTAAAGACAAGACTGTTCAATAAAACGTACCATAAGTAGCGTAGAGGAATAGTTTTCATAGAAAAAAGTGGTTTTCATTTAAAATTACTAATTATAAATTTCAGATTTTTGAGACTGTTTATGTTTAAAAACACTTTTTTTGATACAAATTATATATTCTTGAAAGTCAGTTGAGTTTTAATAATTATCCAAACTTTGTGATGTAATCGAACTTTTCAGACGATGTACCTTATCCAAATATAAATTTCTCGTTCATTTAAAGGTTTTACACGTAAATTAATAAATTCTATTAATTACTTAATTGTAACGACTGATAAATAACATATTTATTATTTTTTATTTTGGTGGAATTCCATTACGTTACATAACAAACTTTTTGAAAAACACCCTTATACAATAATATTTATAACTTTTAAATATATTTAGATAAAAACTTAATTGTTTTAACAACTGAACTGAACAAGATTCACCAATCTTAAGCTCACAAAACACTTTTTTCTCACTTAAACCGACTTGTAAACTCCTTAGATTGCTACGAACTGTCAAAGTTGTTTAGCAAAGTGTAGTTTGCTTAACAAAAAAACCGGCACGGAGAAAGGGACAAACAATCACACCGCTCTGTCTCATTTCTATGCAAGACGTATGCATAAATCTATCTCTTTCGTGTGCGAATGCGAAAGAAGGTTTATTATATCTATTAGTGTTGCAGTTTTTGGTAAGAATAAAATATTAATATCACTGAAATAAAGGCAAATTCATGGATTTGAATGACCAAAAGTGGTATAACATATTAATTTATTTCTCTACTTGTACAAAACCTACAAGGTCTACACTTCATACAATTTTGGACCGTATCCTTTTTTATCATTTTTTATTATACATTCATTTCGTAGTACGCCATTTTCGTGTGAATGTTATTGTGTTGGTTTTTGGATTTTTCTAGTGTTTTATGAGCGTTTTAGTACAATTTTATTTTAAAATTGTAGTGAAAGTTTTGTGTGATTATAATTTTTCTTTTTACGTAAATTATTTCGAATAGTATATAGAAACAATTGCGATTTTCACGCTGCCAACATCCGCTTGGTTTTTCTTTTAGGAAGTAAAACCTGACTTTTGTTTAGACCACAGGATAGAGAATTTTGTATAGATTTTACAATGCCAAACTTCTTCATAGAAAAGTAGTCTCTAAATATACGTTTTAATGGTTTAAAACAGGGATTGAATAACCGAAAAAATTATGGTACAGACGATAAGCGGTATGACGTCATACCTTTAAATTTCGATACCTTAAAATAAAGGTACCTTTAAATTACTATACCTTAAAGTAACTGTACCATTACTTTTTCAAGTATCTAAATTATAAAATAAAGGTATAAAGTATAAACAAAGAAATTGTACGCCGCAACTCGCGCCGAGGCTTCACGCAGTTTCGGCCGCATTGGTAAGAGAGTAGGTACTTGATCGAAAATTTACGGATATTCGTGTCTCGGCAGCTAAACAAAGTAGATTTTTTTGCCATTTTGCCGCCATTCATGTTTCCGCGTATACTTTGATTGTCAACTTAATCACAAGTGTGCTTTTTTTTAATTTATTTTATGTACACACATTAAGATACAGAAGCAGTCTTATAGTAATTTCGTACAAAGGTTCTACTTATTCCAAATTAGCTGAAATATCTTCCAGTAGACCCATAAAGGAAATTATATTGAAATTGCAAACTTAGTGCATACATTATTACTACTAAAAATAAATAATATACACAATGTTACGTAAATTATATAAAATAAAACAATAAATAAAAATAAAATAAATCAATAAATAATAATAATAACAAATACGATAGTTACATATGATATACATACATAAACTAAAACTAATGTAATAGAATAATATATATAAATTAACAGGATGCAAAGTAGTTATCTCTAAGACGTTTCTTGAATACCAACAAAGTTTCGGAATTTCTTATATTTGACGATAGTGAGTTCCATAATCTTACCGCGTGAACTGCTTGTTATAATGTGTGCTTTGTTTAAAATTTTACAATTAGATTGTCGTAAAGATGGATAAAAGTAGGTACAAACTAATTAAGCATTTCTTGACGATATTATACAACTTTGTATATCTTTATACTTTTTTAGATTGAAGCCGAACGAACGTAATTTTTCGAGTTGTGAGTGATGATATGATTGAATATGATTTATTTCAGAACCAGTCATCATGTGTCAGAATAAGCACCATCATTCCCTAGATATTTTTGTGAATTCGGAACGACCAAGGACTCCTTCTGCTCTACACCCTAAAGTAGAAAAACACCCGGAGAAAGATAAACATCGCTCTGAATGTTTCCATTGCATGGCTATCCAACGAGAAGAAAAGGATCAAAGAAATGACATTTTTAGCTTCATCATTATCATCATTATATCCCTTCACAAGTCCACTGCTGAACATAGGCCTCCCTCAAGGAATGCCACAAAGCACGGTCCTGAGACACCTGCATCCATCGACTTCCTGCATGTCTTACCAGGTCATCATTCCGTCTAGTGGGCCTACACTACGCCTACCGGTACGAGACTGCCACTCGAGAACCTTTTTTCCCCATCAGTTATCGGTTCTTCGGGCCGAATGGCCGGCCCATTGCCACTTCAGCTTACTAATACATTGGGTTATGTCGATTGCCCTGGTTCTACTGCGGTTTCTAAGTTTATCGCGCAGAGAAACCCCGAGCAAAGCTCTCTCCATAGCTTGCTGAGCGACCATGATCGTCCTCACACGGCCAGCAGTTAAAGGAACATGTCTCAGATCCGTAAGTCATCGCTGGCAACATGCACTGGTGTACAATCTAGTTTTTAGGTTTTGAGGTATAAATCACGAGAAGATGTGTCGTAATTTCTCGAACGCTGCCCAGTCGAGTTGAAATCTCCTGAAGACCTCTCGGTCGAAGTTAGACTTACCTGGTCGGACTATTTGTCCCAGGCAAACGTACTCGTCAACAACTTCGAGCTTAGTGCTCCCAACAACTACCAGCATAGGTGTGACATGAACATTACACATGATCTTTGTTTTGTCCATGTTCTTCTTAAAACCTATACGTTGGGATACACTATTGAGATCATTGAGTATATTGCTTAGATCCTCCAGCGATTCCACCATAAAGACTATATCGACGGCAAATCGAATGTGAGTAATGTACTCGCCTTTGATGTTAATACCTTTCCAATTCAGTAGCTTGAAAACACCTTCCAATGCGGCGGTGAAGAGTATGGGTGATATAACGTCAACCTGTCTTACACCTCTCTGCAGTTGAATATGATTCGTAATGACTCGAAAACAGCACTTAGCATCGCGTGTTTACTTGAACATTCTGGATATTTTGCTAATTTATATAAGAGTTGAACTCGGCGACACAAGCGAAGCTTCGGAGCGGAATAAAGTGAATTAGTGTGTTTAATTATTAGTGTTTTTAACTTTAATTTGTGTAAAGTAAATTAAAGTGTTAATTTAGGTAATTTTATCGGCAATTTTTATTGTCACGAACCTCAAGCTCGTAACAATAATAATACAAATATGATAAAGATGTTTAATTTTCTCCGAACATGAAATACAGTAACATAGGAAATCCAAATCAAATGAGTCTCATAACGTTAAGCAAGGTCCGAGACACAATACATATAAATAAGCCTAAAATACTCATTTTTTTCGGTACCGAAATTATTTCGGTAAAGGTATTAGTAAAATATAGGTATAACGATACCGTAAAAAAATATAGGTATAATTCTTTTTTTTAACGGTACCACAACCGTAATTCTCAACCGTTTTGGTTCTACCTTTAAATCGAAGCTGTATCGTAATTCTATACCGGTACCATACCCTTATACCTTTACCGCTTTCAACCCCTGGTTTAAAGTGCTCTGGGTGGATGCGGTCGAAAGCGACTGCTCGGGATTTGATGGACGCATGCGACTGCATGGGATTTTTATGGGGATTGAAGGGTTAATTTGCAACAAAAGTCTGCGTGATAGCGACGAGTTCACACACGTATGTACTTACATGCACAATTAATTGTATCATTTTCCACTATTTTTCTTTTACTTTACTTTTACTCTCGACAGTCTTAAATTAAAAAGTGAATCAAATTAAATTTGAATGAATTGAATAGATGCAGAAAGTTAATTAAAAAATCTATATAATAGATAAAATGTACTACTTCATGCTAGACACTCAGATCAACAATAACAGACATACAGAGCACTGCGCAGATTACTGGTGGTGCCAAAACCATTACTTTTTGACATCATGCACTCACGCACACATTTTTCTTTCGTTAACAGTCTGTAAAAGTTCACTACTAAACGTAAACCGTTACAGTCTATTAATGTTCACTGCTGAACATACGTCTCCCCCATAGATTGCCTCATAGGGGGGATATTCGCCATAGCTGCCACGCTTGGCAAGCACACGCATATGTATGTAAAACCATGATATAGGTTACAAATAATTTTAGATGCGCGTGTATATAAGTGTGTTTTTACAATAAATTGAACATGGTTTGGTCTGGTTTTTACGACACTTCAAATATACACAAGCACCGTCTTTCTTTCTTTGTTAGTCTGGGACTAAGCTAACAAACAAATAATTTGTTGCATTTACCTCGCATCTGTGTTCCAAATTCCAGTTATATAGAAGGAATGTTCTAGAAGTGACATGACTCGGGTATACTCCCACATAGTTTTCTCCATGCCCACTTGAGCGACGAGAGAAATTGCTTGTGGAGGACTGGATCGTAAATTTTTCAATACTTTCGACGTCTGAGAGTGACCTCGCGACAGTTTTAACACCAGCTTCGACAAAAAGGTTTTGTTATTTACATCTATCTGCAAAAGAAATGCATACATGTAACTAATGCCTTTCAATATTCCATCACTGGCTATTCACAGTCGCTTCATGGATAAATATTGCCAACACACGGCAACTATACATACAGACAGAAAACCAGGACATAAATAGGGATACTATTTATGTCCTGGTTCCGCCTTTAACTTTTTTAGAAAATTTACATCTGTACTTTTAATAATTTACCCACTATTGCACTACTCTCCCGCCATCAAAAATAATATAAATCATGTACTGTGCATTCAAGGCCAGTGTTCAATTAAGTGCTGGGAACTATACGTGATGGTACCCGTCAGAGACCACTCGTCGTCAATTTTAAGCTTAAAGTCTACAGGTACGTTGCACCACCTATAATCTATCAACAGAATATTTTAAACATAGAGAAGAAGGCTCATTATTTTTAGACGTATGGATTTACAATTCCGTTTGTCGAATATTTTTTGATTGTTGCATTCTGCCGTAGATCGAAACGCAACCGTGACAAATTGCCCAGGTCTATCAAAAATTTGAAATTTGAATGGATGATTAATCGGTCATAACGGTTTAACACTTCATTATAAAATTTTATTCATTACAAATCAGTTTTTTTTGCATTCTTTTCTCAATACAGGGTTTTTTATTTAATCTTTAAATTTTCATTTTGAAATTCAATTAATCCTATTTTGGAACTGTGATAGGATCATAATTTGGACAAACATTGAAATTTGATTCGTTATCCAATAATTGTAATACAACAGTTGTCTACAACTACAAAGTCATTTTCTAATAACGCACAAAGTAGCTGATGTTTACTAATTTTATTGTATGGCAGTAAGTCGTTGAGTATTAAAGCAAAAGAGGCGGCATCGCAAAGCATATCCCTCTGTCAAAGGTACGAGAGTCTGACTCATACCTGTTATATAAAACTAGTTGCTCCGTGTCGTGCGCCATTTCGCAAGTGATCGTGCTAGTCAATTAAGCTCCGACAAAAATGCCGAATTGCAGTGTATTTTCAAGCAAAAATCAATCAAAACCGTCAAATCTACAAAAAGACAACATGACTTTACATCTGTGAATATTTTTAACATAATATTATCGTTAAAACTCGTATTGTCTGAATATTTTCGTAAAATACCAAGTGTTGCCATCATAGTTCATGAAATGAAAAATAAGCAATTTTAAAATAAATATAGTTTACTACACAAAATAAATATACTAACGAAAATTTATTTCCTATTAACTAAATCAGTTTATGGTGAATAATAATAATAATCATTACATTAAGATGTGTAGTGAAATTTGTCAAATGATTTAAATATTCAGCTCAATCTCAACACGATTCGGAATAAATTAGAATTTAATATAATCGATAACTAGTATTTATTAAAATATAGAAACTTGCCACTTCGTAGCAAATGTATGCAATTTTATAAAATAAACTGTTATCACTGCAACCGAAAGGACTGCAATGTACTGCTATCGATAAGTTTTTTAACCATTCAGGTTTGTCTTCCGCACAGGTTTTTATTTTTTGTTTAAATTTTATAATAAAGTATTACAAAAAGCAGTAAATTTTTCGAACATTGGTTTGGTTTTACATATTTCCAAAAAAGATCATCTCAGGCGACAGAGTTGGATTGCAGCTTGTAGAAATCGTGAACCTTGAATTACTGAACGGACTAGCACCATTTGCTCCGAACATTTTGATAAATCTTATTTCATACCCCAAATTATCAATAAAAGAAAGTTAGCCGATACTGCTGTACCAACCTAGAACTTGTGGGAGGTAATGTCTAGTTGTAATTATATCAATAATAAAATATTTTATTATTACCCTCAACACCAATATTATTTATTCTTCTTGAAAATATTTTAGAATTTCGTTAAGTTTACAATAATGACTTCTTATATTTGCGTGAACACTACACATTAAATGAAAATAATCTTACGGATTTTATCGCGTTTAATTTGACTTTTGATCCCCGACGTTTCGGGTGCTTTACAGCGCGAACTTTAATATCGCGCCTTTGACAAAATGCTGCACGTACTGAGGCGACGCGACGCAGCAAATAAACAACCGTATCTAAGCGAACAAACTATACACCAAGAAAAATTACCAAAAAAACACCTCGAAAATAAAAAGCAATAGTATAAGAAATACAAAAAAAATACAATCGCAGTATCGGTGTTTAAAGAAAAAAGTTACAAGTTTGCAAGAAATTCTAAATTCGATGACAGGGGTATGTTTGTTAAATAAACAAAACAAACAGGTATTGGAAAAGATAGGAACTAAAGAAAGCGAACTTTTGAAGAGACAATTACCTAAAAGTAAGACTGTAAAACTACCCAGAACTAACTATTTCACAGAGTTAACACATTTTGTTCTAACACTTGATTATTAACGAAAAGCCTATCGCTATGTAAGAAAACTTTTGAAACATGTTGGCTGCACTACGGACATTGACCAAGTGCTATATTAATTCCGATGAAGCTATTGACGCATTAGTGTTTTTGTTGGCCGGTATAGACACAACGTGAAAGTACCCATAGCCAACTCTTTGATTTAATTTGAATTAAAATTTGAGTTTATCAGTTTTTCCAAAACTGGCCACAATTATATTAACTAATAAAATCATAGTTTTGTATTACACTAAAAAACCCTTCACTTCTGGCCGTACAAGGAAACTCAAAGTCGCTCAGTGAGCTACGGAGACGGTTATTCTCGGGGTTTTCCGCATAATAAACTTAGAAATAAGGATATCCGCAGTAGAACCAGAGCAATCGACATAGCCCAACGGATTATTAAGCTGAAGTGGCAATGGGCCGGCCATATATTTCGAAGAACCGACAACCGAAGGGAACAAAAGGTTCTCGAGTGGCAGCTTCGTACCAGTGGACGAAGTGCAATCCGCCACAAGATGGAGTGACGACCTGGTAAAACATGCAGGAAGTCGATGGATGCAGGTGGCTCAGGACCGTGCTTTGCGGCATTCCTTGGGGAAGGCCTATGTTCAACAGTGGACTTGTAAAGGGCAGTATTGAATGAAAAACACTAAATATCAGTTTTACCAATGCTGAACTTATGCAGACTATGATGATTTGTTTATCGATAAAAATATCGACATAGTCCTCCGTCCTACGTTGCTTACGCATGTAGACAGCGGCACTAGTGTATCGACACGTGTACAATTTGTTGGTATGCGTAAATGCAACGAACACCAACACAAATGCTGTAGTGTGTGTATAGTTACGCGATTCAAAATTGCATTTGTAGTGAAGTACACAGTAGTGTGTTTTCCTCGCCTCCCTCTGAAATTGACAGCTCTTTGTTTAGGAATTAACGCGCAAGGCCTTTCCAGTTGGTTGAATACTCAAAGCTGTAAATGTTTTGTTTTTTTAACTGATATTTTTTGGTAGAGTCATCAGTGAGAGCCAGACCAGAAAAGTAATAACGTAAAATTGCAGCTTAAAGGCCCGCGTCCACTATGCTCGCCGAACCGAGTCGAGTCGCCTCCTATATATTTACTATTAAACTGCGTCCATCAGCTACGAGCCGCGGCGCGCCTAATTGAATCGACCGCGCGAATTGCTTAAAAGGCGAATTTCTTCGCCGATGAGATTCGATTCAATTCGGCGCGCCTCAGTCGACGCGGAGAAGTGGATGCGCGCCGACATATTTTTGTAAATTTCTATTGAGTTTTCATAAAAGTCTTTTTGTTTTTGAATAAAAATTAATGAAGAACTTTTCCGTAGCATAAACGAAAGTATTGACAAAGTTATGAGGATCCCTTTTCAAATCTGGATATAAATGATGAAATTCGCCATAGTTATTTCTTTTCATATAAATGTCGTGTATCCAGTAGGGAGCACGCCATTTTCTTTTTCTATTCTCCTATGTTACATCAAAAAGTATTTGAAATAAATCTCACATCTCTTCATGTGAGCTGTCCATGACGCAAAAACGACCTAATTTGATGAAGAGTTTGTGATGAATGAGCGATTCGATTCTTTGGAGATGGACGCACCAGGAATAAATGCGATTCACTTCGATTCGACGCATTTCTACTGTAGTCGACGCCAAGCTTAATGCTGCTGTGTTACGTACAGTGAGTGTAGAGAACTGGAGACCCTTTTTATTGGAAACGAGACATTACATATTAGTTCTCAAAGGTGACAACGCTTCTTTACTTTTTTCTTAATCGAGGATAAATGCAGATGTCTATGGGCCACAGGGCCACAGCATCCACTTACCACCAGGTGGACTGTGTGCTCGACATGTTTGTCACCCTTAATCTATAAAAGAAACTTTTTTCTGCGAGCAGCTACGCAGGTCTATAAAAACCATAAAATATATTTTGTGATCATGCTATAGCTATAGTTCACTACTATAGCACTGTGTCTTCAATGAATAGGAGGTGCTTAGCTGTGAGCAATTTCCCTCCTTCTTTACTTCTGACGATTGTTACGCGTTTGCGCATTAAGTGTCCACAATCTGGGTGCGCAAAGGTGTTTCATCCATTAAGGAACAGAACCGGCACACCCTTGAGTTGCTTAATGCCCAGGATGGACATGTTGTGCTTTTTAAGACAACAATTTCAAGTTAGAGTTCTTGCCAGAATTCGCAGTTTATTCTCACCTAATCCCAGGACTTCTGAGAGCGAATTTACGATCATAAGCCCGGATTAAGGTTTTAGAATGTTTTAAGCTTGGTGTATCAGACCAGACCTTAAGTGATTTATTGTGATAAAAACTTTCAAGGGTCAATCGGGGTAGGCTTTTTTAAATTCCACAAAATGGCTCGGGTCCAAATTGTTCTCTTTGAGCCCTCCCGTGCAAGCTTGTCGGCAAGTTCATGGCCTACAAACACCCGCACATGAACAATCTCCGACTCCAACTTCGAGTTTACTAAGTTTGATCTCAGTGCTATCGGTGCTACTGGACTATCAGAGTTTACGTATATAATATGGATGTAGTGTTTTTGCAGATTGATTTCCGCACACTGAAGTGTGCCAAAAATTTCTCCCTGGAAGATAGAGATGAATCTAACCAAATTCATACTAAGTTTGAATTTGGGGTGATCTCCATGAATTACAAAGCCTACGTCGAGGCGCATTTTCGACCCATCGGTATACTAATAAGGCTACCGACCTCACACATAACCTGTCCATTCTGCCAGTTTTCTGTAAAGGGTATTTTCACTATGTAATTTTTATGAAAAGTATGATAAAAACGCATGATATAAAGGCATGATATAAACGCATGATAAAAAAAACTTACAAAAGGTCGTATTTTTCCAGAGGACACAAACTTTAATGCTTGCAGGAGTAACGTGATTAATTCTTCTGCTGTTTCGCAATCTGTAAACAAAATTTAATGAAATTTTAGTCGTCAATAATTCTTATTTTTGTCACACGAATTCGGGATTATATATGAATGAAATGAATGGTTTTTATTCAATAGATTATTGAATAATACTTATTGAAAGTCATTTTATTATTTACCATTAGTTCGAAAAAAAAAACCTCTGTACTAGGAAGAACCAGCAAGAAACCCCGCGGGACTTTTTTTAAACACATTTCTATTTAAAATTAATTTAATTTTCGCAATTTTTTTTTTTTGAACGAATTTTTACAGACCAGCATGGTGGCGATCACGTCTTTCACAGAGGTTATTTTCATTTATGTATTCTTCTATATTATAATAACACATTTTGTACAATTTTTCCTTAATAAAACATTGAAACTTGTTTAATGACCAATTTTGTACATTTTCTGGAATTTTGTTGTAAAAGCGTATTCATTGCCCTATAAATGAATTACTAATTCTGTGGAGTCTAGTAACTGGTATTACAAGCATATGTTTGTTCCTAGTATTTAAAGTATGAACATCTTTATTCTCATATTATAGTTATTATATGTATAAAAAATCACTGTATATATAGTAAAAACTAAAATAGCAGCTAAAGGAGTAGATACTATTGAGATATTGCAGTCAGGCGTTACTTTGCGGAAATCCATTATATTGAATTTGATAAAAATTAATTTGCTTATATCCGCGTAATAAAATAAAATGATGTGTCTTACATAGTTTGAGGAGCAACTCCCAGCCTCCCTCAATTGCGTGCACTATCCTAGTCACCACCAGTCAGCACCACCACTCCCAACACAATTACACTAGGAAAGACACACCACCGTCGATAATACGACACGTGTTTCACCTCCACACGAAGTAGACTCTGCGATAGCTAACCACAGTCTTTAACTTTCAATATAAGGTATTTTCTGCCTAGTCGACTCTACCAGTCAATATCAAATCAATACGAAATATTGCAGAGATAATACAAAAAATGCAATATCGGAATCACGATCCTCTCTAATGCAAGACCAATTGTATTGTTACAGTCTCCTCAATTACTTTTATAAGGTAATTTTACCGTACCGTAATTTTATCGACTGGCAATAAAAAAAAAACTGTTAACTAAATAGAACGTACAAGTAAGATAAATACCTAATTGTATTATTTATACAGAGTTATTTTGCAATATACGGCCAAATTTGGAGAGAAAGTTCAGTAGGTATAGGTAATATATGCGAATGATGAAAAAAAAGAATAAAAGCTCAAACATTTTGTCCTTTTTATTTTTTATATTCAAAATGTGTGGAGATGTATTATTTTAACTGATTGTCATTCATAAATATGTAGCACCCACTATTTTATTACGCACGCACACATTCGTAACGGAGTGTTGAACTCGGAAGCAGTCGGTCGCATTCGGCCAGTTTTAAAGTGTATAACGGACATAATATGTAGAAACATTTATTGTGTTATATATAGATATATATAAAAAGGGCAAGTATATATACTGATGGATATATATACTGATTCATTGATATTTCGAATAAACTAGCGCCGTGTTTCCTATAAAAAATTCGATAAAAGTTTACGTGGTGCGCAAAGATTTTACGAAAGCGAGTCTTTACCGCCTTTGAAAAGACAAGGAATTAACGTACGTGAACCACCCAATCGGAGAACAATTTTGGCAGCTAACCAAAGTCTGTCAGACTTGGAGTAGTTCACCACTCCGTTACATGTAGCCCAGTGGTCGAAAACTCACTGATCGAGTTTTTCGAGCGAAACCTCCGCGCTAGCACCAATGATGCAGCTCAAGTTCAGGGTTAACCAGTACGTGTGGAAATTGTATCTGATATCATATACTTATTACTGAGCGAGATTAGAATGGCTCTCCACCACCTTAAAAACGGCAAGGCCCCGGGCGAGGATGGAATTACAGCGGAGCTTCTGAAAGCGGGTGGAACACCGGTACTTGAAGTCCTTCAGAAGCTCTTCAATTCCGTCCTCCATGGTGGCACTACTCCGGAGGCGTGGAGCAGAAGCGCGGTGGTCTTGTTCTTTAAGAAAGGCGACAACGCTCTCTTGAAGAACTACAGACCGATTTCCCTTCTGAGCCGCGTCTACGTGCTGTTTTCGAGAGTCATTACGAATCGTCTCGCACGCAGACTCGACGACTTCCAGCCTCCCGAACAAGCCGGTTTCCGGAAAGGCTTCAGTACCATAGACCACATACATACCCTTCGGCAAATTGTACAGAAGTCCGAAGAGTACAATCTGCCTGCCACTTTGCCTGGCGTATGTGGACTATGAGAAAGCCTTTGATTCCGTCGAAATTTGGGCGGTGCTACAGTCTCTTCAGCGGTGCCTAGTTGACTGTCAGTATATTGAAGTGCTGAAGTGTTTGTACAGTAGGGCTACGATGGCTATCCGAGTACAGAACCAGAGTATGAAACCTATCCAACTGCAGAGAGGTGTAAGACAGGGTGATGTTATATCCCCGAAACTCTTCACCGCTGCGTTGGAAGACGTTTTCAAGCTACTGGACTGGAAAGGATACGGTATTAACATCAATGGCGAGTACATCACTCACCTTCGATTTGCCGACGATATAGTCCTTATGGCAGAATCGCTGGAGGACCTTAGCACTATGCTCAATGACCTCAATGGTGTCTCCCAACGGATAGGTCTTAAGATGAACATGGACAAAACAAAGATCATGTTTAATGTCCATGTCACACCTATGCCGGTAGTTGTTGGGAGCACTAAGCTCGAAGTTGTTGACGAGTACGTTTACCTGGGACAAATAGTCCTACTAGGTAAGTCCAACTTCGACCGAGAGGTCAATCGCGGATTCAACTCGGCTGGGCAGCGTTCGGGAAATTACGACACATCTTCTCGTCAGGTATACATCAATCTCTGAAAACTAAAGTGTATAACCAGTGCGTGTTGCCAGTGATGACTTACGGATGTGAGACGTGGTCCTTCACCGCTGGCCGTATGAGGACGCTCAAGGTCGCTCAGCGAGCTACGGAGAGGGCTATGTTCTGAGTTTCACTGCGTGATCGACTCAGAAATGAGGATATCCGCAGTAAAACCAGAGTGACCGACATAGCCCAACGGATTAGTAAGCTGAAGTGGCAATGGGCCGGCCATATAGCTCGAAGAACCGATAACCGATGGGGAAGACAGGTTCTCGAGTGGCAGCCTCGTACCGGTAGGCGTAGTGTAGGGCGACCCCCCACTAGATGGAGTGACGACCTGGTAAGACATGCAGGAAGTCGATGGATGCAGGTGGCTCAGGACCGTGCTTTGTGGCATTACTTGGGGGAGGCCTATGTTCAGCAGTGGACTTGTGAAGGGCTGTAATGATGATGAATGATCATATACTTCATTACCCATCAAATAACGATTAATACTCTTACTATGAACCCATCCAGAGTGCAAAATAGATCTATGTCTTCTGCTATACAGTCAAGGATACAAAAGGGGGGAACGTAAACGGCGCTTCAGTCACAAGCTTGGTGCGGCCGCGCGGCACAGCTAGCAGCTACGGCCGCCCCCGCTGCCACACGTATCTGTCCGGAACACATATGTGCACATGTTGCAATACGTCTGGATTGTGAATAACAATGGTACACCTCGAAAACATTTTTGTAAAGGGTTATTGTTATTTTAAGTGACTGCATATTTAAGTTGTAAATAGTTCGTTGTTGCAAATAGTTAATCGTATTAAATTGTTAATAGTTGTAAATACTTGATTCCAATTTTTTCAATACGCCATAATAAAGACAGTCATCGGCTAAGTCGTTGAATTCGCGCAACAATATATATATATATTGTTGCGCGAATAAGTCGACGTCATGTATCCGGCACTAGCGCCATCTAGTGTCAGGGACGATAGCGAGGGGAGCTTTCCAGAAAATGACGTCACTAATCTTTTAATCGACAGCGCCATCTAGTTTTGGAACGAAGAACTAAGCTTCTAGAAGTCGACGCTCGAACTCTCGGCCCCTTGCGCGTGTTTACTTGAATATTCTGGATGTTTCGGTGTTAATTTGTATTTATAGGTGCTGCAAGATGCGATCGGGGAAGTATTGAATTTGGCGAGACTCAACAACGCCGCACACGTGGAGGGCCAGCCGCCGGCTGCAGGCCCGTCAGTAGCTCCTACATCTGCAGCACCTGACTTAGGTGCTCTGATGGTGATGCTGCAGGAGCAGGCTCGCCGACAGGAGAAACAGGCTCGTCGTTTGGAAGAGCAGCTGCGGGGCGGACAAGAGGAACAGGTCCGTCGTTTGGAAGAGCAGCTATGGGATGGACAAGAGGAACAAATCGCGAAAGCTGAAACCCGAATCAAGAAAGTTGAAACCCGAATCAACGAAGTGAACAATCGGGTTGACAACGTGATGGCTGACGTGAAGAAAACGCTGGACGACCTCAAACTGGGGGATGGAATTACAGCTCCCGTAGTAGCTACAACACCTTCGCTACGTGGGTTCAAAGTGCCACCGTTAGACGGGACTTCTTCCTGGTCAGCTTACAAAATCCAGTTTGAAGCCATTATGAAGGCGAACGCCTGGAATAAAAGTCAGGCCATGACTGCTCTCACACTAGGCCTGCGCGACCAGGCCTTAACAGTTGAGGCATTGGAGGCGAGATATGGTGACGCCCACCTGGAACACGTCTTCCGTGCGCAGCTTAAAGATCGCGTGCAGCGCATCAACGAAAACCTGCAGGAGTGGGCTCTAGAGGTGGAGAAGCTGGTGCGAAAAACATACCGGTCTGTACCTGCGCTCATTGAAGGGAACCTGGTGCAGACATTCATCGACGGCATCCGCGACCTGGAAGTCAGAGCTGCTGTGAGGCTCGGGCACCACGAGACGCTTAAGGACGCCTTGGCCCATGCACTGGAGGTGGAAGCCGTGCGGCAGGATCATCGTTTCCATCGCGTCAGTGAGGTTGCATTAGCTACATTTCGCGACCGTAATAATGGATACATCCCTAGGTGCTATGGCTGTGGGGAAAGGGGCCATCTTCGATCCAGCTGCCCTAAGCGAACTGTAGAAAGGGAAGTTGATCGATCTCGAGAGGGTAGTGCAGCTAACGGCACCGCCTGGCGGTGGCAGGATCGTCGTTCCCCTGGCGCTAGGGAGGTTGCAGCAGTGTCACCCTAGGATACAGCCTAGGTGCTATGGCTGTGGGGAAAGCGGCCATCTTCGATCCAGCTGCCCTAAGCGAACCCTAGAAAGGGAAGGTGAACGACCTCAGAAGGGAAGTGCGGCTAACATCAACGCCCAGCAGAAGACGTGATATGACTTTACTATCAGACATCGCAGCGGGAAATCTCATGGCAACGCAGATGCATTATCAAGAAGACCTTGTCCTGAAGATTGGAAACATTGTACTAGGCAAGAGAGTAAGGAAGTGGTATCCGTGAGGATACTCAGGACACACCACCTCAGCAACGAGTGGAAGGATAGCCTACGACATGCAACAGCACGAAGATCCGGACATCAAGCCGATTCTGGAATGGATGAAGGCCCGTGCTACCAAGCCTAAGTGGAGCGACGTCTCAGCGATGAGTTCAACCACGAAAAGCTATTGGGCCCAATGGGACAGCTTGCTGATTCAGGATGGAGTCCTGTGCCGTAAATGGGACAATGGTCGAGGAGACAGCTGTCGTTTGCAAATGGTTGTCCCTAAAGCTAAAGTGCCGAATGTTCTACAGCTGTGCCATAATGGTCGTTCAAGAGTCCATCTGGGAGGTAAAAAGAAGGTCCGAGAACAGTTTTACTGGGTCCATTATCGTGACGATGTCGAGGATTGGTATCGTACATGTACAAGTTGTGCGGCTGTGAGGGGACCTCAGACACGTAGTAGAGGAGCATCGAAATTATACAATGTTGGTGCACCATGGGATAGGACAGCCCTTGACATTACGGAGCCGTTACAGAAAGGCGCAAGAGGGACTCCTAAGATCGTCCATGTGAATCGCCTGGCGCGTTGTTATGGGGCCGATAATGCTCGGGACGAGCATGTCTCAGGAGGGGGCAGTGTTGCGCGAATAAGTCGACGTCATGTATCCGGCACTAGCGTCATCTAGTGTCAGGGACGATAGCGAGGGGAGCTTTCCAGAAAATGACATCACTAATCTTTCAACCGACAGCGCCATCTAGTCTCGGAACGAAGAACTAAGCTTCTAGAAGTCGACACTCGAACTCTCGGCCCCTTGCGCGTGTTTACTTGAATATTCTGGATGTTTCGATGCTAATTTGTATTTATAGGCGCTGCAAGATGCGATAGGGGGAAGTATTGAATTTGGCGAGACAAGCGAAGCTTCGGAGCGGAATAAAGTGAATCAGTGTGATTAATTATTAGTGTTTTAAGTTTAATTAGTGTAAAGTGAATTAAAGAGTTAATTTAGGTAATTCTATCGGCAATTTTTATTGTCACGAACCTCAAGCTCGTAACAAAACTTTGTTTTATTATGACGGTCCTAAATCCGTTTCTTTTTTCTTACTTATGAAGGAAAAATTGGAAATCATAATTCGCGTCACACAGTTATCAACTTAGTAGTAAGCGTGTCATTAAGGAAGTAAATAGTAGATAAAAACTCCGTGCATTAACTCGTTCACATACGAGAGCTCGTATGCTGTAGTTGTTGCCCATAAATCACATTCAATTTCAGAAATTTTTCAAATAAATGTAGAGACCGTATTTGCGCGTATTTTTAAAAACTGAAAAATGTGTATATCAGCATATATATTTTAACTTAATTACTAAATTTGACTAGTCTTTGAAAAATAAACCTGTATACACCTTACTATAGTTGTACTGACTGCCTTGTTGGTATAGTGGTCCGCTAAGTGTGACTGCTGATCATGAGGTTCATTGACGATCACGGGTTCAAATTCAATTCGGGCTCAAGCCAAAATCAGTTTTTGTATCACAATTTGGAGTCAGGAATTTGGCGGTATTTTACCACCGCGCCTCGGGAAGCTCATAAAGCCGTTGGTTTACGCCTGATCTCTATCCGGTAGAGTCGAATTGTATCCCATCGGACTATGAGTGTTTGCACATACAAATTCGAGCATTTTAATCGTGTCCTGTGCAGATAGCTAGTCTCCGTTGAGATAAGCCGCCGTGACCAAAATTCGGTCTGGATGACATAATTTTAATGTTCTTATTGAATAAAATCAAATCCTTTTCAGTTTACAGCAACTAAATTAACCTTCCATATTCGAGCTACTATTGTAGTCAAGCAAGCAATCATGGGCCTAAAAATGTGTGTAAGTATACACACTATAATGGTCACTACAGTTATCAGAAGTTCATTGCTGAGCATAGGCCGGCCTCTATAGGTTATAGTGTGGTCTGTATGAGGTTGCCACTCGAGAAATTTTTTACCCCATTAGATATAAGCGACAAACTGTACTAAAATAATTGAACTAAACAAATCTGCTCATAGCTAATAGACTGATTTAAATTGAAATTATAAAAAATCAGGAATAAGCTTGTTATTATTTTTTTCATAGAAGAAGGGGCAAACGAGCATCTGGTTCATTTGCCATATTTAAAAAAATATAAAATTTACGTAACTTTTACGAAGTTACATAACTCTAAAACCTACTCATCAAAATTTGTTATGCATCGTTTATTATTATCAAAAGTTCAAACACTGTAAGCTAATCTTAATATTTTATACCACAATTAATTATGCCATACCTCTCAAAATATCCCAAAGTTTATATGTAAAGTCATTACTAGAGCCATTAGCGCACATAGAGGACAGACACTGCTTTAAGGTATTAGTGTCTTCTGTGATACAGATGCATCCGCCAGCAGGGCATTCTGCAGTATATGTATATGTCTCAGTTTCATTCAGCAGTTCGTTCAGACGGTTTGTTACATTGGATTGCTTCATGCCTTGCACTGTGTATCTGAAAATTTTGGGTAGCTTAAGATTATCTATTTTTCTAATCTTCTTCATTCTCATATCCAGTCACATTGTTTGACAGCTCCGTTGCGCAGTAGCTTAGTAGAGTTACCGCGGGTTCGGATCCCGCTAGGAACAAGAATTTGTATGACCTACAAGTAATTGTTCCGGGTCTGGATGTTTGTCCTTGTGAAATTTATATGTTAACCTCTCAACTGCGGATGTCCAAGACTTGGACACGAAAATATCTCCGTTGACTGCGGGCGTCCAAGTGTTAGACATTTTTTACCCGCTCTTTTAATGAAGAAACAAAGCATTATGCGCTATTTCTAACTCATTCTACCATATGTCAATGTGTACAGGATAAAAAAGGCTAGCATAAAAACCCCACAGCTTATACACTTTAGTAGTATATTTTATTTAAATTATTCTTAAATGTCGTCCGTTCCTTGAGTCAGCCATTAGTGTGATTGACGCGCGCTAACAACGAAGTTGTTTGTAATTATTTTGTATTAATTTATATTTATTGTGTGGTGAATTGTGTTAAAACAATGCCTGGGTAAGTAATCTTCTTATTTGTAATCTCATTTTGTGTTTTATCTTATCAAGTACGTGTAAAATCGTTTTTTAATATGTATGAAGCAAACTGCTATCTTAAAACTAACATGCTGGTTGACGAGAGTTGACTTGAAATGTACGTAAAATTTTAGTGTTGACTGTCAGTTTTGTGTTAAAATATGTATAATTGTTCATCGTTCACAGTTTTAGTACATCAAAATGTGGATAAAGTGCAATATTTTCAAAATTTTAATGTATATACGCAATAGGTGCAATAGTGTCCATTTTGAGACGTCCGTAGAAGTGAATTCTAGTTCTCTTTTTTGCGGGTGGCGAAAAAAGGAACTAAAGTTTGCCATACTGCATCAAGTTCAAATTCGGTTGAATGGTTAGAATGGTAAAGAATCTAGCGCCCTCGAGCAGCAGCAGCAGAGAAATGGAGCTTGGTTGACTGCACGATTATTCGATGATTTATAAAAAATTGAATTTGGCATTTGGATATGTCATGTATGTTAACACAAGACTTCGGAATTTTTTAAACAATTTATTAAAACAGAAAGTTAGATAGTATTTACATAATATGCTTTTTTATATTTTTATTTTAATATTTTTTAATATTTAATATTTGAAATTTTTATTTTTTTAATTTAATATGAACAGGTTGTGGTTTTTAAGGTCACCTCAGACACATATTTCTTATACTGGTTTTTTTTAATGTACATTTTATCTGTATTTACTTTGCAAATCGTGTAACGTTGCGTTATGTTTCAACCTATAGCAAGATTGTTGTTACCTACAGTACCATTCGTAAATGAATTGTACTGTAGATACAGTAAATCCAACAAGTACCAGGAGCCTTTTAAAGAAATAAGTACCTATGTTATATATTTATTCAATTTTATACTTATGTCTATCCATCCATTTAGTTTTTATTGTTGCCTAGCTATAATTTGTTCAGTTAATTATTTCAGACTATCATCGTCGAAATTGTTAAGTTAGTTAAGTTACACAGCCGATTTCCGTCCCACTGCTGGGCCTTCCCTCACTTCTGAAAGAGTTTTACGGCAAAGAAGTATCCACCGCGCTGCCCATATGCGTGTTGGCGAACTGCACATGCCTTGGAAATATTTTTTTTTATTTCTCAGACAGTCAGACTTCCTCATGATGTTTTTCTTCACCGCCGAGCAAAGGCAAATCAGCACTTAAAATTGTAATTAATAATTTCATTGATGCCGGCGGGGATCGAACCCGGTGTGCTAGCGTACTGTGAAATTTAACGCGAGAGATAACAATCTGAGCTACCAGGGCTCTCTCATCGTCGAAATGAATACTTAAGTTAGTTAATTTACAGCCTTTTTACGCCCCACAGCTGGGCAAAGGCAAAGAAGTTTCCGTCGCGCTGCCAAAATGCGTGTTGGCGAACTTCACATGTCTTCGAAATATTTTTTTTCTTATTTCACAGACGTGCAGGTTTCCTCACAATGTCTTTCTTCACCGCCAAGCACGTGGTAGATCAGCACTTAAAATTGCAATTAACAATTTCATTATTGCTAGCGGGGATCGAACCCGGCTTGCTAGCGTACTATGAAATTTACAGCGAGAGCTAACCATCTGAGCTACCACGGCTCTTCCGAGCCACCACGGCTCTCATCGTTGAAATGAATACACCTCTTTATTTTGTATGTTTTTTTTTTCTATAGGATAGGGTGTCAAACGAGCACGCAGTCCACCTGTGGTGGTTTCTGCGGCCCATAGACATCTACATCCATCCTCGATTACAAATCAAAATGCAAAAATGCGTGTCACCCGTGATGACTAAGATGGAACGCCTCGTTTCCAGCAAAAAGGCTCTCCGGTTCTCTACACTCACCATACGAAACACAGAAGCATTAAGCTATTATTTCACGCTGGTATTCTGTGAGAGCGTGGTCCTTCCCCGGTCGAGCCGGCCTATTCGTGCTACAACTATACTACTAATGTAACTGCAGCATGGCTCTACCACGTACAAAAAATGTTTTAATGTACTAGTACATGATGCACAAAAAAAGTTCAGAATCGAACTTTAATTTTGGCATATTTTTGTATAATGCATAAGAAGTGGGTTCTTTAAAAATATACATAAATAATATTTTTTTTTATTTCAGAAAGAGATATATTTATTTTAAATTTTATTATTTCGTAGCTATTGTTTGTGTTAAAGGAAATATGTTACCGTTACGAGAAATAATGTTATTGGTTATTGGAAATGTAACATAACCGCTGCGCACCTCGCGGCGCCTCTGTCACTCGATACATATTATGGTGCATTGGGTATTGTTTACAAAAAACGTTATTTATAACTCTACATCAGCGGGAGTGACTCTTGAGTGGTTTTATGGTTTTTAAAGGAATGAATGAATCTTTATTTCTGTACAAGTGCTGTTAAAGTTTGTTTGCTCAAATAAAGTAATTAATTTTTCAATAAATATGGCACTTACGACTAAAATTTTGATATCGGCATTAAGAGTACTTATGAAATACTTTATCGGATTTCTAAAACTTAGCAATACCTATTGTAAAATGACTGAATCATGTAAAGAAAAAGAGAGATTCAAGACTGAATCATTGTAATGAAATAAAAAAAACTATTTTTATTGACTAAAGCATTACGCCGCATTATGCCGCATCTGGTCCGAACTACATGCTACATCGGTGTAAATTGATTGTGGGTTCTTGTAAGCTTATTATTAATGCGTTTTACGATAAAAAATTGTATTGTAGCCTTTGATTTTGCACATAAAATATTGTAAACAATAGACGTAAGATTAAAATAAAATAAAATTGAACTATTAAAAACTTTGTGTCATTGATAAATATGATAGTTTTGACTTTATTCTATATTTAGTTATACTAACCACTTTAAACTTTATTAAATATATGTACTCGTTTATAGGAAATTTCATAGAGAATTCAGAAATGTATACATATTATAGTATTCGATATACCAAAATCAAGATATTTACGTTTAAACGGATTGGGCCCAATCAGCCGTCCATTTTATTAAACAGCTCCGCAGTTAACGGAGAATTACGGTTAGTCTCCGCAGCTGAAAGGTTATATGTGTTTGTAAACTGCCCACACGATACAGGAGAAAATCCTAGTGTGGATGTAATGTTTATATAAAAAAATATTTAAAACATAAATATAAAAATACTGTTAGTATTGAAGATAGGACTCAAACATAAAAGAGAATCTACCATACTTGCCTTGCTTAGCTGGTGGATTAGTGCAGTACCAGACAAAGCAGTTGCCTATATTGATCGAGGTATTTTACATTAAACATATCATCATTACAACCTTTCAATGCTGGACATTATGCTTCCCATATTACAGATTGCCTCGTAAGTGGATACCATTTTGCTTCACCTTAGTTACCACGCTAGGCAGGTGTGATAGGCACTATCATATATAATATCACAATCTTGTTAGATATTGTCCATCATTTATGATTAATTCGGTTTTCACTTAAGACAGCATCGAAACACCACCCTGAATCAAAATTGAATAAACTACTGCCCTCGTTGTAGGCATCCCATTTATGCTTGCAGATTGGCAACTGCTGTGTTTCTTTTAATATTTTGAATCGTGATCGGGAAGGTGGTGTTGCTTGTCTTCAGTTTTAGTTTTACTCCGTTGTCTGTTACGACACCCATGGGATGTTATTATGGGGTAATGGATTCACTAAAGCCACCACTACATGGCGAATTGAGCATAAATGAGATGGTTACATCGCAAAATCTGAAGCCTGTGAGATATTAACATTTTCTATAATCGACTCTTTAGACTAATACAAGATAAGATGACACATTCTCTTATTCGTCGATTTGATTGATTATGACTAGATGTGGATTCAGTATGCAGTATCAGATGTCTTGCAGCTTTTCACATTCTAGGTCTGTGTGTTTCATATCGATCATATACGTGATGGTATACCGCCACTTATCCCAGGCCATAAGTCATTAACATTGTCTTGTCCCATCATCTTGTCATTAACATTGGCTATGTTAATGACTAGAAAACATGGTACAAAAAGGGGTGAGTGAGCTCTTCGGCAGTCTCTACACTGCAATTTTATTCTTGCCTATAAAATATGCTTTAGAATAAAATTGAAGTCGGCTGGATAGCAATGTCGGAAAAAAAAGGGCGGTCAACATATTTTCAAATGTTCATTACCTTATCACAGCTGATTCTAAGTTGATAGAACTGAAACCTGCTGCAGTCATTTCAACCAGAAGCTGATTGATATTGTGTAGAGCACTGACCGATTTCCAAATAGCATTACATGGACTTGCCAAATGCCCAACTATAACTTCTTGAGACTAAAACATAAAACTATAACTTGTACAAAACTTATTGTAGTTCACAGGTTTTGAATTTGTGAAGAGTAGTACGTTCTCATGATGTGGTAGAGCTATTCTGCAGATATAGTAGCAGCATAAATGGGTTATCGCAAATGGGGAAGGGCCATAAACCAAGCCATTCCATCTGAGTCCTCAGGGGGGACATTGTATCTAAATTTGAATTGCTAATAGAGGACAAATGGGCCACAAAATTTACCATCAGGTAGACTGTGTCTGTTTGTACCCTTTTTTACAAAAAATACATATTAAGGGTAGGAAGGCAGTTGCATCAACTAGGGAGGAGTGGGTCCGAGTTGGTAACACCTTTTCCTATTTCGAGTAAGCTGCAGTGCACCCATAGCTGTGATCCAGTTTGAAGATTCAGTGGAACCTATTTAATTATTAGCCTACACTAATTATATTGGTTCCACTGATTATACACTGATACTGTGACAACACTTAAAATTGTAGTTCAATCAATACACATTTTTTGTTAACGCTAATTGAACTATAAAAAATGAATGGATTCAATGTCATTCTCATTCATTTTTATAGTTTTCGATTAGCGTTTTTGATTGGAGAAAGTCAACATGGCTAGCCCTACAGTAGCTGTTAGAGCACTATGAAGAAACACTTTGAAACAATTTTAATATAAGAACATAAAATATATAAATTATGCAAATTTGTCCAGTCGAAGGCAAAACATATGCCTAATTAAGTTTTAAAAAGCAGAATGAATTACACAATATATCACATCTAACTTTGTGGTCTCTAACAGAATGTTCAATCATACATTTCATTCATTCATCATCATCATCATTGCAGCCCTTCACAAGTCCACTACTGAACATAAATTGTCTCATAGGGGGGATATTTTCCCTGGTCACGCTTAGCAGGTGGGTTGGCAACTCGATTTTATAATTATTTTCAACTACCCTTCTGTCACTTGGCTATGCTTACAACGCCACTTCACACTGCAACTATATCATAATAGCTTCATGGATGAGTCGGCTCCACCGAGAAAGGACAATACTCTCAAAGAAGCTTCCCATCTCCTGTTTCATTTCCCTTTATCACCGCCTCTTATGACACTAATAGTATGATATGGAGTATTGGATTATTTTACACCACCACTATGAAGTGATTGTATTGATGTATTTGTATTTAAGCATTATCATAAGCCTGGCAATATGTATGAGCACTCTGCCTTGTTTAATTTTATATTTGGTAGGTAACTTACATAGTTCACTTTGCAGCTTATATATGGAGTGAGTAATGTCTTAACAGACCATGTGCATAGTAACTCAGTGACTCCTCCATGTGGAGCATTCAAAAGCTCATCTGCATTTAAAGACCCGTATGTTATACCTGATAGCACATATTTACAGTCAACTGACATTGCCACCTGAAATGTAATATGAAAATTGATTATTTAGAGAAACATAATATACGTCTTTTGGTTAAGATATTTAATGTTGTAGAGCCATGCTGCAGGTATCTTATAGTTGTATCACAAATGAGTCAGCTTGACCAGGTAAGAACCACACTCTTTAACTCTCATACAATACCAGAGTAAAAAAGCAGAATAATACTGCTGTTTCATACAGTGAGTGTAGAGAAACGGAGACCATTTTTACTAGATAAGAGGCATTTCATCTTAGTCCTCAGGGGTTACAACACATCTGCATTTTGATTCTTTATAGGTGTAGATGTTTATGGGCATCCACTTAAAATAAGGTAACTGTGTACTCATTTTTCACCATTATTCTATAAAAAAATTCTAATTACACATATGACTTTCAATTTCACTTTAATAAATTCTCAAACTATACCCACATATTAATAAAGAACTAAAAAATATATTATTATTACATCCCATCAAGTATGATACATAAGAACATAGCCCACAAAGCATGTTTCCGAGCCAATAATCGACATCCAGCGTCTTTGTGGTCACACCATTTAGTGGGAGGTCTGCTTACAATTTGCTTACCAGTACTAGTTTGCTACTTGAAAACCTAAAATTCTACAATGTTGTTAACTTGCTTTGATTTTAAATTTATTTGTCAAAATTTATTAGTGAAATAAAGCATTATTATTATTATCAATTTGGGGTATCTGTATAGTTCTCTCATCTGGTTCGGTTCTATAAATATATAATGAAAACGATAAATATACATAAATACAAATAAAATAAAATAAAATAAATACATAAATAAATAAAAACCCAACCAGATGGAAGCCCTCGGCAGGGGAGACCCAGCGGCCGAGAGTTTGGGGGAAAGGGAAAAAACCGACTAACAATGTGAGAGGTATCGAGGAGCACCGCCTTCTGCATTTGAGGTTGCAGTGGTCCGTCACGGAGTCCCAGTCGCCTCAGATGACCCGAGAGGCTGACCATAATTATTATTATTACTATACAATTTCTTACTTTCTTACTACATGTAAGAAATTCAATTAGAATTTTTATTATTGTTTTTATTTTTTTACACTCAAAAACAAATACATTTTTTAAAAACACAAATTGATATAAAATAAATTTAATAAGTGATAAATTTGTTTTAAATGCAGTTTGCAGCATACTATATTTTAGTTTTAAATAATTCACAGTACATAATTGAAATTAAAATCTTACAGATTCCTCTTCTAATCCTTCTTTAGCTGCATAATCTTCAATTATTTTCTCGACATCCACCTCTTCTAATGTCATACAACCTTCATATGTAACAAGCCCTCTATTAAAATGATTCTCATCAGATTGTACTGTTAACAATATGGGTTTGCCCGTAGATGATGGATTACAAAGTACCCACATAGGTGTCACTTCTTCTTTATTTGTTTGAGATAAGCTTTTGCTATAAAGGTTTGCAACTTCCCTTGAAAGTTAAAAAATATATATTGTGTTAGAATTTTGTTTACATCACTTAAGAGTGAAATTTAGATACATTAGAAAGTTATTTTATGAACCAGTAGAAAAATAAAAACAAATATGTAATATTATAATGATATCATTACGGTTAAAGCATATTGAAGTCCACTACTGAACATATGCCTCGTCTATACATCGCCTCATAGGGGGAATATTTGCCATAGTTGGCAAGTTGGCAAGCAGGTTGGCAACTGTAGTTTTTTAAGCTGTTATTAGGAAGATGCTGATGCCCATCTCCTGATTTGATTCCCTCTGTCACCCCTTACGATACCCACGGGATGATATCGGATAGTTTACATTCTTACACTGCCACTACACTAATATAACTATTTAAAAAAAGATACAATTTAATAAAATTATATTTTGAATACTAATTTTATAGATTTAATTGTGTTTTATTTCTACTTATTTTAATAATAAAAAAATCCTGACATTTTAGGACCTTTACAGCATCTATGGCATATAAAGGGGTGTTTGATGTGGTTGTACATCCTGATATCAGAGTAAATACCTGCGAATTTCACAGTATGTGAGCAACCCGGGTTTGATCCCAGCCGGCACCAATGAAATTGTCAATTGCAATTGTAAGTGAAGATTTACCATGTGAAAAAATATAATTCTAAGACATGTGAAGTCCGCCAACACGCATTGGGGCAGTGCAGCAGACATTTACTTTGCCCTTAAACCCTACCAGAAGTGAGAGGCCTGTGGCCACTTTACTTTTACTCCAGATTAACAATTTTATTAATTTAATCATAATTGTTATTGTGCAACAATGACAAAAATAATTTAAAAACAATAAACCTTCTTTTTGGGGTGGGTGCGGGCGGGGGGTCGGGGGTGGTGGTGTGTTGAGAAAGCCTCTTTTTTTGGGGGGGGTGTGCCACGTCTTTCTCTTGGGGGCGGACACCGAGGGGTGTGGTTTTTTCCCAAAAAAAAAAAAAAAAAAAAATTGCTTTCTCTATGTCAATAGGTGCATGAGCAATTTCTTCTTTTCTCCATAACTGTGGTTCATCAGGAAGTAGAGTTTCATCTAATATTGTATGTAAACTTAGATCCAGCTTCAAAGGAGAACCAGTAAGTTCTAAATCATCTTAAAATAGGAAGAATAAAGCAAATAAAATAACCTGAATTAATTAAAAATATTCGTTGAATATAAAAATAATTAGCAGCATATATTTAAAATTTATTTTTTCTTTAATTTTTAATACTTTAAGAAGTAAAATTCAACAATAAAATAAATTTAAATTCATACCTGATTCTTTAATATTTCTTCCCCTTGAGTCCGTAGCACTCGACTGTTTCGCCTAAGTAGAAAAAAATGTTTTAAAGACATTTAAAGCTTAAATTTTATTTAAGGCACAATTCCAATGCAAGTTAATGTATTTATAGGTATATAAATGTTAATTAAACACCTATTCATTCAAGCTTACTTTAGAATAAACCAATACAATATCTTTATTGTTCCCTGTGTACATTTTCACATAACTAGGACTTGATTGCTTTTCGATAACGAATTTAGGAAAACTTTCTAAAAGCGGTTGCACAAAATTTATTAAAACCATTATAAAATTAAATTGTACAAAAAATGTAAAGAGAATTTTCAAATCCTCCTCTTGACCGTTGAACAATTTGACAATTCACAAAAAAGTTGTTGTTGTTGTTATTTTTATTATTCCCTCGAGCGAGCAGGCAAAGGAACTAAGCCAACAGCCTTGTCTTTTTTAATTTGAATATATAGAATTTTGAAGTGTAAAAGCCGGAACCAAGTCTGATTTTTCTTCTTTCCATCTCTTCAAAATCCATAAAGGCCGAAGCCAAGTCTTATTTTCTTTAATTCTTCATATTTTCAAAAAACATGAAGACTAAAGCCAAGTCTTCTTTATTATAATCTTTATAAGTTTCAATCCATATAGATTTATCAGTCCCATATTTACAAAAACAGGAATACCATATTTCATATTTCTTTTACAGTATTATGAATAAAATTTCAAAGTGCTAAATATGTCGTAGTATTTGTGCCGGACGGGCGAAACTCTCCGGAGTAAATGTTGTCGAAGATACTTCGCGAGTTTCTCACGTCCTACACCTATAGGTTCCGGTGGGTACTTTCACTGCCGTCTTTGTGGGTGACGCTGAGATATTGTGGACTGAAGTTTAAATCAAAATGCACGATTAATAAATACAAATAGCAAGGTAGTGGCCAGCGGTTCGACTGATTGATTAGTCGCGAAATTTTATAACTATTTTTATTGACCACGGTTGTTGAACTACGGTTGTTAACTATTGGTTGGTCACCGTATATTTCAAAAGATTTCTTTAAATTGTACGGTAGTATCAAATATCTATTGGTAGTAGCTGGTTTTCTAATACTACTGACTAGCAGCTATTATCACATAAACTAGCTGATTTTATCACTTGTGAAACTGCGGATATCGGTTACCACTTTCACTATATGTAACTGCGAATATCAGTTACGACCTTTTTCGGCTAGCTAACACTTTGACTATATGTAACTGCGAATATCAGTTATGACCTTTTTCGGCTACCTAATACTTTCACTATATGTAACTGCGAATATCAGTTACGACCTTTTTCGGCTACCTAACACTTTCACTATATGTAATTGCGAATATCAGTTACGATCTTTTTCGGCTACCTAATACTTTCACTATATGTAACTGCGAATATCAGTTACGACCTTTTTCGGCTACCTAACACTTTCACTATATGTAACTGCGAATATCAGTTACGACCTTTTTCGGCTACCTAATACTTTCACTGTATGTAACTGCGAATATCAGTTACGACCTTTTTCGTCTAGCTATCACTTTCACTATATGTAACTGCGAATATCAGTTACGACCTTTTTCGGCTAGCTAACACTTTGACTATATGTAACTGCGAATATCAGTTACGACCTTTTTAGGCTAGCTAACACTTTCACTATATGTAACTGCGAATATCAGTTACGACCTTTTTCGGCTAGCTAACACTTTGACTATATGTAACTGCGAATATCAGTTACGACCTTTTTCGGCTAGCTAACACTTTCACTATATGTAACTGCGAATATCAGTTACGACCTTTTTCGGCTAGCTAACACTTTCACTATATGTAACTGCTAATATCAGTTACGACCTTTTTCGGCTAGCTAACCCTTTCACTATGTGTAACTGCGAATATCAGTTACGACCTTTTTCGGCTAGCTAACATTTTCACTATTCACTATATTATACTGCTACTAGTCACTTCAGCTACCACCGGATACCACTGCTTGTCACTGGTAGTTCTTCACACTACTACTCCTACTGGGTCACGAGTAAAGATGGGCGAAACTGTTATATTTTTCTAATTCGTTATGTTGTTGTAATATATTTTTCTAACTGTTGTTTTAAACTGTTATAATATATTATAACAGTTTTAAATATTACATTGTACACGTGGTTAGTTCAGTTCAGTCGTCGGCTGTGTTCGTGTTTTGTTTAACGAAAAATAAACAAAAACAACAATAGCTTTTTCACGTAATATGGGGACCTGCTATCAAAACATTACGTATATAATTTAACAGATAACAGTGTCATTGTCATCTCAGCTAGACAGCTAACTGGACACTAAACTGATATATTATATATTACAACAGCCAAATTAAATAACAGGCACAACAGGCAACTAATGAAGGAAATAATATATTTTTGTTTACCGTTATAATTTAGTGTTAGTAAAATAAGCTCTTATTAAGTTAGCTTGGAGTTTAAATTAGTGTAAGCTATACGCAATCCTTGTGGCATAATGAATGTAGGTAGTATTTTATTGACTCCCATTGTCTCGGCCGACGCGACGGTTGGACCGTAAACGTAAACAGATGACGCTTTCTAACGATAATCAATATAATATTATAACAGTCAATGGTTCATTATTCTAATGTGTTGTAAGATTAAAAATATATAATGAAATATATTATCTGTTGTATGTTATAACGCCCAACTTTAGTCACGAGCCCCTAAGGTAGACTTTGGCTATACTTTAAGGTGAGCCGCTTGCCATTTTCCGTTTTGCCTCTTTATTGCATAAACTTTTCACTATGCAAATTGCATAAATTACAATATTTTCTTTACAAAACTAATTGCTACACTAATATGCTATACATGATCAAATCGGTAGTCTGGTACTTTATTAGTATATCATAAAGGTTACTCAAAACATTAGCATTGTAAAAAGTTATTAAATGAAATGTCCCAAATTTTCATAATATTTGGGTACATTAATTCTTTGATTTTTCTATAACTACGAAATGCGTTTAATTATACAAAATATTCCTAAACTACCTTAATCTATAAGCCATATGCTAATTCAATGTCATATTTACAACTCTTTTAGAACATAAAATTATTTTCATTATTTTTAGTATGAACTATTACGCAGTTAATTAAAAACTTCTAGAGAGTTCTACGATAAGACGCGCTGTGATTGGTCGATTTTTCTTAATATAATAAAAGTTTTTTTTATCACTTGTTATCAAAACTACATTCTATACAAATATACTAAGAGTTATAAACATGCTACACAACTATATTAATACACATTTTCACCTAGTTTTGTCGGTAATTTCATTATTAATAGAAAAAACAAACAATATTCTTTATCACTTTGTTTCTTAGCGTTGTTAGGCCGTCGCGAACAGTATTCCTAAGAACATCTTGCAGGGCACGCGGGACGCTTTCTGAGTTTTCATAAATTTGTATAAGTTCTTCAATGAGTAGCAATCTTTCTATGGCATACGCTGGGCAGTTAAATAATATATGTTCTGCAGTCTGATCTGCTTCTGTATCACAGAACTTGCATATTACAGATGCTACTATTCTCATCCTGGAAAGATGAGCGTTCAGTCGATAGTGGCCAAAACTAAGTCTGCACATTATTGTATACAATTTTCTGCTATGATATCTCTCGTTGCGAGAAAACCAAGGAATACTTAATTGTGAATTAATTGATGCATACGACCTTTTCCTGTCTCTAAACAGCATTCCATTGCATTTTCCATTATTCTTTTAACTGTTGCTTTAAAATTGAATATAAATCTGTATGTGGTATTGCAACACCGATTATCCTGTCAATATCAGCTATGTATAAATTACTGAATAGGTATATATTGTCCGTTCATCGCGTAGACAGAGAAACCTATAGACTATAGATATAGAGAGATATATAATGACTCTCGAAAACAGCTCGTAGACGCGGCTCAGAAGGGAAATCGGTCTGTAGTTCTTTAAGAGAGCGTTGTCGCCTTTCTTAAAGAACAAGACCACCGCACTTCTGCTCCACGCCTCCGGAGTAGTGCCGACGTAATTGAAGAGATTCTGAAGGACTTCAAGTACCGGTGTTCCACCCGCTTTCAGAAGCTCCGCTGTAATTCCATCCTCGCCTAGGGCCCTGCCGTTTTTAAGGTGCTGGAGAGCCATTCTAATCTCGCTCAGACTGACGTCCGGGATATCATCGGAATAGTGTCGGGTAAGACTTGCTCTTGGATCGTTACTCACACTTGCGTGTGGCTCCAACGATGATGTGTACAGCTGCCCATTGAACCTCTCAATCTCACTCAAAATCTCAGGTATCCCGGAAACGATGATGCCACTCAGTCTTCAGCTTTGACAGTTGGCTCTTTCTGGCAGACAGATCTCTGGCAAAGACTTTGGAGCCCTGGTTCCGCTCGATCGCTTCTTTAATATGAGCAGTATTAAAGTTGCGTAAGTCTTGCAGCATGCATTTGGAGATATATCTGTTCAGTTGCCTGTATGCTGTCAAATCTGTTGACGATTGCACCCTCATCTCCCGTCTAACAGCCATGAGATTAAGAGTGTGATCGGAGAGTTTTTGTGTTCTTCTGCGGCGGGTCTTGCGGAACTTAGCTCCGACCGCATGGACAGTTTCTACGAGCTTGTCATTCATATCGTCCACTGCATTGCAATCTTCTAGGCACTGAAATCGGTTACGTAACTTGAGCTGAAAAGTCTCGGGATTCTGGATTAGAGCACGAGGGGGAACGAACGTTGACCTCATTAGACGAGACCTCTTCAACTTAACGTTTAGGTTCAGTGTGCCTCTAACCATTTGGTGATCGCTGCCAGTTTTCACCCTAGCGATCACTGAGACATCACTGAACAGTTGGCGTCTGGTCGTCATAATGAAGTCAATCTTATTTTTTGTCGAACCGTCGGGGCTCGACCAGGTCCAGTTCCTGTGTGGTTCCGCTTCTGAAGAAAGAGTTTATCATAAAGAGTCCCTCTTTCTCCATAAAGTCAGCCAGCTTCTGGCCCCTACGGTTCCGTTGCCCTACTCCAAATTTCCCTAACTTCAGCTCACCGCTTTCTCTTGTGCCTAGTTTTGCGTTGAAGTCTCCCATCAATACCGTGTAGTGGGTTTTGGAGGAATGCATGGCTCTAGAAATATCCTCATACATTTCCTCCACCTCCTCATCGGGATGTGCCGAGGTTGGTGCGTAGACCTGTATGACCTTCAGCGAATACCGTTTGGTGATTCTGAGTATCAGGTACGCGACCTTCGT